AACAAAGTTATAATTAGGCATATTTAAGGAGGTTAATGTAGGCCTAACATATAAGTGACATTTATTACCGCAGCAAACCAGGAGGGGGCAAAGTTTTGACTAATGTATTGCAGCAGCCGTAAATAAACGTGTATCCTCATTGTTTATACACAATAACTGGTTTTATTACCTCCGCCACCAACTACTAGAGCATCTTATTTTAAGAGCTGTAGACCGGGCAAATGTGTATTACCTTCACCACCGAGCATCCTATTTTAAAAGCAGTAGACTGGGAAAATGATGTTTTTCATATTGTTTTGAATCTTTATGACTAACAAAATAGATTTTGTAGAGAAATGAAAAAAACTACATTTTTTAATACAAACACACAAAAAAACGATTTAAAATCGTTTGAACAAACTAAACTATTGTTTTTACTGAACCAACGAATTTTCCCAAAAAATTGACAAAAAACTATTGTTTTTTTAACGAAAAAACTATTTTTCAGAACAAACTTTTTAAAAACTATATTTTTTACTGAACAAACGATTTTTCCAACAAATTCGAAAACGAACGAAATAGATGGAAAATGAACAAAAATTTTGAGAACAAACAAAATCAATATTTTTTTAAACAATTGAAAAAACGAGCGAAATGGTTAATTCACAAATGATGAACAAACAACATGAAAAAAAGTTGAACCTACCCATCCCTGGTCTCAAATAGACTGAAATTACATCTATATATAAATTTGGCTTGTCTGTTTGTCTGTTTGTATCCAATAAACGTCAAAACGGCTGAACCGATCGGGCCCAAATTTTTTGTGGGACATCTAGGGACTCCAGGGAAGGTTTATGAATGATTGAAATTTTAAATATTTGAAAATTTTGAAAATCCGCGAAATTTTTTGTGAAAATCCGCGAATTATTTTTGTTTTGTTTTACGATGTAAACAAAGAGAACATGTTAAAAACTAATTTAGAAGATGGGCGCGAAGCGCCCTCTAAGGCTAGTTCTATACAATCTGGTAATAACTTCTGTCATAAACTTACTTATGGTTTGGTCCAGAATTAAAACCAAAATAAAAATCTATCCACATGTTTGATAGATTCACTATAATTCAAACATAAAACTGTTTAAACTATTCTTATATTTATGGTATTAACTCTAAATCCTTTTAGATTAATTAGAGCTTCATCAGATTCAAAAAGAATTATGAGATATATATATATATATTTCAAAGTTTTTTGAGATACAACATGTTTAACCCAGAGAGCTTTATAAAATGTCGCTTTCTAAATCTACTGATAATGGAATGCTGCAGATATTTAGTTTTTAATCGAATGAATATATGAAGCTCTTTAAAACTTTTTTCACATACTTTACATGGCTAATTATAAAAATATAAAACCCAATGAAAAATTGTCACAAAGACATTTTCTAGATTCTTTCTTTGTCTCCGTGGTGCTGTTTTAAACTGTATCAAAATACAAGATACAATGATTTTAGACTGTCTGGCTTTTCTTTTAAACGATAAACGTTAAAAAGGCTGGTTTGTGGCAACTCACATTACGTAGAATTAACTTAAAGTCCATCCTGTTTTACCTAAATCAGGCAGAGCCTTTTAAGTCCATACAAGTGTATTTCAATGTCGAACTTTTATTGGCTGGGATTGTCTTTCGATGTACGCCTTGTTTTACAATCATATATTACAAGGGTTGCAAATTCATATTTTCTCTCATTTAATGTTCAAAAAATGTATTCACAAAAACACAATTAAGGTCTTAAAATTCTATTTAAATATATTCTATAATAATAGTTTAGTAAAGCAAGTGTATGACTGTATGTACCACTCAAAACGATCAAGGACAACCTATGCAAAACTCTGATTCTGATTAGTTTTTTTTCCCTATTTGATAAAATCTAATCAAACTTTAACTTTACATTTAAGTATTTATTTTTAAGTCCTATCTCATATTCAAAGAGTTTAACAGTTGTCCGGATTATGGTTGCTAGAAAATGAACTCTATAACAGCTGTCCGGATTATGGCTGCTAGAAAATGAACTCTATAACAGTTGTCCGGATTATGGCTGCTAGAAAATGAACTCTATAACAGTTGTCCGGATTATGGATGCTAGAAAATGAACTCTATAATAACTGGGCAGGAATATATGTATTTACAATATCGTTATTATGTTCACACAATATAAAATAAACGGGGGAACTATAGTCTAACATATAATCTGGTTTATTATACAGCGTTATCCATTAAACATGAAAATTTAAATGTTATTATTTTAAGAAGAATAATAATAATATTCTTAAAAGCTCATACGGGCAGGCCCTTAACCAGGGGGGGGGGCGCAAGGGGACAGGTGCACCCCCTTTCTCCTAAGAGGGGGGTGCAATGATGAATTTGCACTCCCCCCTTTTTTAGGTAAGTTGTTTGGTACAATCTTCTCTTGAAAAATTGAGATGTTAGCACTCAAATGTTTCTAAAGGAATTCAGTCTTTGACACAAACTCAAAATTTCAAATTCCTATATCTTTGAAACATATTGACGTAAACTTTTGATATTTCAAACTTAGATTATTTTGATATGACAGAATTCATAATTTGAAATATCTAAGGTCTACAGTATTAGGTTGCACAAATATAGAGATTTAAAAATAGGGGTTTGTGGCAAAGACTCAATTCCTTTGTGATCATCCTGTATACTGTATTGGGAGGGAGGGAAGGCAAAAATTCCTGCGACCACAAATTACGTCACATACTCACCGTTATTTCTTCCGGCAACACCTTTTTTGGTTCGGCATTGTTTACGCTCTTTTTTAAAGTACTTTAAATTATTATATTCGAATTTTGAGCCATCTGCATCTGCATCATAGGCTTAGGTCACCACACCATTCAAGTCTCTCTTAGGTCACCACACCATTCAAGTCTCTCTTTTGTAAAGTGTAAGTAACAATATACAATTTTGAAATATGATTAACAATATCTTTTCCGTGTCCATTTTTAAGGAAAACTAGGATAAATTATGTAAATGTACATAATAATAGGTTTTTCATTGTTAAAAGATATTACTCAGGACTCTCTTGCTAAAGATATGTTGAAGTGTTCTCTGCTGTATTGTCTTTACAAATGTACTTTATCGACACTTATTTATGTTTTACTTCAGTGTGCAGATGGGCGAGGAAAATATAACGCTATAATAATATATTTAGATAAATTATAGCGACTAAACTATAACCACCCAAAATATGTCATTTTTTACAAAGATGTTACTAATAAAAAAACTACATATGACCAAATAGATTATCAAGTTATACTTGATAATCTTTTTTGCATTTAACTATTTTTATTCTTAAAAAATATAACAATTTTCTACAATGTATTATTAAAATATAGTCATATTTCTCAAAAATATAACAATTTTCTACAATGTATTATTAAAATATAGACATATTTCTCAAAAATATAACAATTTTCTACAATGTATTATTAAAATATAGACATATTTCTCAAAAATATAACAATTTTCTACAATGTATTACTAAAATATAGCCATATTTCTCAAAAAGATTAACTGCACTTTCCTAAAATATAACCTTTTTTTTGAAAATTCACCGTTAGAGAGGTTCTGTTAAAAAATAGTTTGAATTTTGAGTCAAATTATTTTCGATTCTCGTCAAAGCAAAATAGAAAATGTTAAAGTTGAGAATAGCAACTGTTTTCCTTCACAGATTTTTAGATTCGAAATCTTTTTAAATTCGTAAAAACTTCTTAAATTCACAAAAAAATAACACAAATCATCGCGTTCCTGCAATCATCTTTTATTTATATAAATAAAGTTGCAATTTCTGTTTGATTGATTGTCTGAACTCATGAACCCCAGGACCGATTTGTCTAACATTTGATTGGGAAACTTGGGAGAACCACGGAAATGTTGCTTGGTTTTGAGATTCTAAGTTGCGTAAATAGCAATTAAAGAGTAAGACTTTATGCAGGTAAACAACGGGAGTAACTGTAAGTACCCGGGGCCGGGGCAACGCTGGGTATATCCCAAGCTCTCTCTGATAAAAGATTTCTACAAGTTTAAGATATTAATGTCATGGTTTTCAAAAAATCTAAGCAGTGGACAATTTTGAAACAAATCTGTCAAAAACTTTTGTCTTTTTGAAGCTTATACTAAAGAAACATTGAATTTTTGCGAAAGTGATTTCCGGAAAATTTAGAAACCCTAATTACATATCTGTAGTAAGAGACGAGGTTGCGGGATTTGAGAGATAGATAGATAGAATGTAGAGTTCGTTGAGTACACAGCGGTTAACAAGTGTACACTTTAGGTAAACATCAACTTACACAGTATGAGTTCACGGTAATCTGTCGCGGTGGCACTAATTACCGATGTATTTTATTCGCGTTACTGATTAGATTTTATTTTAATTAATTGGTATATTCTTAGAGAAAAAATCGTTCACTAGGACAGACCCAATTAATTTTTACACACTACGTTACACGTACGATACGTTTACGTTTCAGTTTCCTTTACCATAGTTCATTTTATTATTGTAAACATACTTTTCTTGTTTTCTCTCTGTTTGTTAGTATTAAATGAACTTCAAAACGGTTGAACCGATCGGGAACAAATTTTGTGTGGGACCACGCATGGCACCATGGGGAAGGTTTATGGGGTCTGTCTTAGAGAACGATTTTTGGACCCCACGAAATTTTTTATTTAAACCCACGACCTTTTTTGTTTTTGTTATACTCTATATATACTAATGCTCAGAATTGAAATAGAAGATGGATGCGAAGCGCCCTGAAAACCTAGAATAATATATTGTGTTGACGTTATATATAGTTTTGAAATTTTAATACTATCTATAACTGTGGTTTCTTTTTATGACATTTAAGTTTCGGTATATTCCACATTTTGAATTTTAGAAAATTCACCAAATGGCATTTCCTGTGCCCCTTTAATACATAATACCGTAAGTTTAACAATTACATGTCTCAGCTCCTATATAGCACTATGAGCTCCTACGTGCAGTTTTTTTTAGTGGAATGTAGTCTGAAATAACCAAAATCTGTTTGAGGTACAATTAAGGTGAAAACAGTTAAGAATAAAATAAAAAATATTTTTACATAATTACAATAAAAACTTATTTTAGAAATAATATGGATGATACACTTAGGAGACGTAAAAATATAGTTCAAGAGAGCAGTAGTTCACATCATACACAGAAAAGGTTTTTTTCATAATTCTTTTTTAGATTTAAAGAATATATTTATCTATGAAATAAGTTTAAAGAGGTTTAATTTTTATAATATGTGTTTAGGACTAAAGGAGAAGGTGGATCCCTTCTAGTATATTTAGTTGCTGGGCTAGGGATCTTATCTCTTTATATATTTGTATTCCCCAAACATACAATTAATAGGTGATAAACAGTTTAATATGTTTTCAAGTTAAATGCCAAATTTATGAAGAAACTCGTTATCTTTGCAATCTAATGTCAGAACAGGGGTGTATTTTTCTAGAAAAATTATTTTTCTCTTCCCCCTTCCCTCTCCCAGAAGTTATTCACGTTAAGGTGTTTTTTTTCTGAATTAAGGAAAATAAATTAATTTTGGGATAAAAAGTATCAAAAAGAATGAAATAACTTGTCGTTTAATGTCAAATTTTTTTTCTTTCCCCGGATCAACAAAATAATTCTTAAAAATATACACCCTTGAGGTTTAAACCTTTGATAATACAATATTTGAATTCATCGTTTAAAATATTGAAGGTCTACGAAAACAGATTGAAAAGATATAAGAATTAGAAAATTAGAGTATTAGGAGAGTTATCATTTTCTTTATTCATCTAATTAAGTTCTTTTTCTCACTGGCTCTAAATATTTACATTTTAAAACAATACAATTTTGATAAGCATATGTCAATTCAAATTTTATAAATTAAAACTATTAATTTTTTATCCATTGTAATATTTAATTGGGGTAAACAACTTGATTTAACACCCCTTAAAGATTTATTCTTATTTTCAGCTTTCGTAAACTAATTGAACACTATTGTTTTCTAGACAAATTTTGAGACATGTTGAGACTAATCTGAACTCCTATGAGTTGATGGAAAAAAAACATGCAGTTATAATAGACGCAGGTTCAGATTTTAAATTTTACATTAAATTTCTAAAATAGAATTTCAGAAGTTTGAATTATGAAGAACATTTACATTAGCAGATTTTTAAAATAACTTTAAAGAAAAAAAATTAGATTTTTGATACATCGATGTCATTTAAAATCTTTATTTTGATGATGGGGTGTTGTTTCCTAGGAAGTACAGGGTCAAGAGTTCTGGCATTTTCATTTTATAAATCAGCTGTTACTGGAGAGTTAGGTAAATATTTTACATTTATAAATCAGCTGTTACTGGAGAGTTAGGTAAATATTTTACATTTTATAAATCAGCTGTTACTGGAGAGTTAGGTAAATATTTTACATTTTATAAATCAGCTGTTACTGGAGAGTTAGGTAAATATCTTACATTTTAAAATCAGCTGTTACTGGAGAGTTAGGTAAATATTTTACATTTTATAAATCAGCTGTTACTGGAGAGTTAGGTAAATATTTTACATTTTATAAATCAGCTCTTACTGGAAAGTTAGGTAAATATCTTACATTTTAAAATCAGCTGTTACTGGAGAGTTAGGTTAATATCTTGCATTTTATATATCAGCTGTTACTCGAGAGTTAGGTAAATATTTTATATTTTATAAATCGGCTGTTACTGGAGAGTTAGGCAAATATTTTACATTATATAAATCAGCTCTTACTGGAGAGTTAGGGAAATATTTTACATTATATAAATCAACTCTTACTGGAGAGTTAGGTAAATATGTTATAATTTATATTTTAGCTGTTACTGGAGAGTTAGGTTAATATCTTATAATTTATAAATCAGCTATTACTGGAGAGTTTGGTTAATATCTTATAATTTATAAATCAGCTGTTACTGGAGAGTTAGGTAAATATTTATATTTTATAAATCAACTGTTACTGGAGAGTTTGGTTAATATCTTATATCTATAAATCAGCTATTACTGGAGAGTTAGGTTAATATCTTATATTTATAAATCAGCTGTTACTGGAGAGTTAGGTAAGTATTTATATTTTATAAATCAACTGTTACTGGAGAGTTTGGTTAATATCTTATAATTTATAAATCAGCTGTTACTGGAGAGTTTGGTTAATATTTTAAAATTTATAAATCAGCTATTACTGGAGAGTTCAGTATAGTTATTTTGCATTTTTTAAATAAGAATTTTTGAGACATTAAAATATTGGATGGAGGAATAAATGTATTTTGAGGACTGAATTTATATGCTTTGACGGAAAATAAAAAGAGGAAGTTAATTCCAGAAAAATAATTTTTTATTACAAAAATGATGATTGGCAAAAATACTCCTTAAAAAATTGGCGCTTTTCGCACATTTCTCCTATTTTAGCTGTGATTTTTTTGTGCTTTTATTAAAAAGATTATTTTTAAGATATCCAAGACGAAGCTTACAACATATTGTAAATTCGAGTTAAAATGGCATTCATTTTGTCATGGGTTTATTATTCTATTCTATTCATGGTAGTCGAGGGTTCCATGTTTGGTTCCCTCTCAGAAAAAAAACTATCATTATCTATATTTATTTAACTATTATACCTAGCTAAGGAACCCAGCTATACCTGGAACCGAAACCTTTAATATAAAAATCTACCTATCTCATCCTGAAATATTTTAACTAAACTAAGAACATTTCCGCGTTTCTAACTGTTTCCATTACAAAATTTGAGGCAAATCGGTAATAATCTATGTTTGTATGTTCGATCATATTTCATAAACCCCTGGATCAATTCGCCTCAAATTATGATTGTGAACTCGTTTAAACTACAGGAATATTGTTAGTATTGTTTTAAAGTTCTAATTTGTGTGTGTTGACTTTTTTGGGGTAAGCCTAGTGTCCAGGCAAAGCTGGGTTCCTCAGCTAGTTTTAATATTTTAGTTCTTCACGATGAGTTGTGGCACGAAGTTAAGCCAGGTCTATCATCCTTTGCAGACTCCCCAGACAAGGGAGGAGAAACTATTCTTCAACTTATTCAGATTGCAAAAGGTAGGATTATAGTTGACAAATTATGATATTTTTGTTAAATTGTACATTTCTCTAGTTGCCCCAAGTAAAAAACTTTTTTTTCAAAATGAATTCTTTAAATTTTAAAACATTTTCTTTAAAAAAAAATTAAATTAAAAACTATTCTAAAACGTTTAAGGTCGAATACCTGAAAGTCACTGGGCAGAAACACCAATATCATTAAAGGCAAGGAGTTAATAAATGTTTCCTTTTTTATAATGTTTTGTATAATGGGAATAGAATAATGTTTTTAAAATGTTTTGTATAATGGGAATAGAATAATGTTTTTAAAATGTTTTGTATAATGGGAATAGAATAATGTTTTTATAATGTTTTGTATAATGGGAATAGAATAATGTTTTTATAATGTTTTGTATAATGGGAATAGAATAATGTTTTTATAATGTTTTGTATAATGGGAATAGAATAATGTTTTTATAATGTTTTGTATAATGGGAATAGAATAATGTTTTGTATAATGAGAATAGAAGCTTCGTGGAAAACTTGAATTTGGACTTGTCGTCAACAATTTCTTGAAAATCAAATTGTTATGAAATATTTCGGAAGTACAAAATATTATTTTTTATCCTTCAGAGCAAAAACAGCAGATGTTTTAAGTATGATTTATATTTTGTTTAAAAAGCCGATTTCTATTGCTAATATAAAGGGAGATATATGACTTTTTTTGTTGAGAAATGTTAATAAAAACTTAAATCATTGAAAAATAGTCATTTTTCGAATTTAAAAACGTCGTTAATTATAACTTTCAATCAAAATTTAATTCTGGGTTAAATAAAGGAATGGTTCATCTAATTTCGAATATGTTATTTTAATAATTTTTTATGAAAGTACTTCCGGAATTCGTTTTTTTGTTGACTTTATGTTCTTATTTGTATATATCAGGCTACAGCTGGGCTTAGATTACTACCAGCAGAGAAGGCAAAAACTCTTCTAAACACAGTCAAATCTACTCTTCTCAACTCAGGTACATCTAGGGCGGGACATCTTAAAGGGACTGTAGACGTAACTTAAAGTACCCCTCACTTTGTATAGGTTGGTTCGATTCACATCGGTAACCTTTAAACCTTTGTCTGATTAAGGATGAAGCTGAAAATTGACTGCCGGAATTTCTACCGATTTGGCGTTTATTGGATACTAACAAACAAATTAATGAACAGACGGACAAGCCAAACATACATTATACTAAAATTGGTATTTTTTTAGGATTTAAAATAGTTTCTGGTGACCCTGGAGTTGAAATCATGTCAGATTTAGAGGAAGGAATATTTGGTTGGGTGACGGTCAACTTCCTGCTCGACAAGCTGGGAGAGCCAGGTCAGGAGTTTTTGGTAGTTATCTTGCTTTGTATGCTGATCTTCCTGTAAGCCTCTTGAACGGTTGAAAATAAGAACAATAAAAGTTCGCAAATTTTCTTTCATGTTATTGGTGTATTTTTAAACAATTTTAAATTGAAATTATTTTAAAGCAACATTTATTATTATACAAGCAGCCCTAACCCTCCCCCTTGGGTTAATGTGAGTTGCCACAGCCATTTTGACGATTACTTGACAAAAACAGACAAGGCATAAAAATATTTGTATATTTTTTAAATATTAATTAATGTGAAAATATCACCTCAGTTGGGAAATATAACATTCAAAACATCTAAACGCATAATAATCTCTCTTTTATCTTCTGAATGGCTAACGATTTTGAAATTAACGTTTTTGTCGTTCGTTAACTTTTAAAACCGCGCCTTTTTTAACCGAACGTTTCCTAGTCCTGCAGTAGCTGCAGCACACATATCTAATCCTTGTACTTAGGAGACTCTGCAGTTGCACTTGATCTTGGTGGTGGATCAACACAAATATCATTTCTTCCAGTTCATGTGTCAACTTTACAGGTACAAATTCACATATAGCTTTGGTTGATACCAGGTCTAGCTTTGGTTAATACTATCGTTTTTTTGGTTGGATTTTCCTTATGTTTATTCTTGTGATAAAAAGACATAGTTTAATATAAGTAAACTTGTGTACAGAATATGGTTTTGAAATGTTGTAGCCTTATATTTTTGGAACAGTATTTTGTGCTGTGGCGCCTTTACAAGTCCAAAACCCTTAAAAATCTTTAAAATAAACAAACCAAGTTATTTTATTGCCAATCACTGACCACAAATCTCAATTATCACAATAGCCTTACCCCAGCGCCGTGTGGATAACAAGGCTGATGATTGAAGAAAAAGGTTTAGTATTTTTTCCATAATTTGCGTATTTTAGGAAACACCGGAACAGTTTCTTCACATTAAGGATATTTCTGGAGTAGAAACTTCAATTTATACACACAGGTTAAATAATCTTTAATCGAAGAGTGAAAAGTGCTAAAAAAAATATAGAGAATAAATAATAATAATAATAATAATAATACATTTTCTATTTTTTCTTCATTTGTACTACCGTACTGTAAAGCAAAATGAAAGCACAAAACAAATTCCGTGCAAATGGTGATGTTTTTATTGATTTCATGCGTAAACTTGTTTGTTGCAAGCAATTTTATTTGCACTCTTTGTATTTGCTATGTCATGCCATAGATCCTTCACTTATTTTATCTCAAGAGGAGCTTTAAAATAAATCGGAAGAACTGATTATTTTCAGACGTTATAAAACATTTTCTTATTTTTAATAAACCCTGGTTCAAAGTGCTTTAAATGTTTTGAATTTTAGTCCATTTTTCTTAGAAAGAAATATTCAATAAATTTTTTTTTTCAAAAATCACCAATTCAGTTTTCTTCCAATAGGAGATGACCTTTCTAGATTACCAATGATTATAAAAGATTAATTTGTGATTATGAAATTTACCGAGTAAACGAAAGGCACTTAAATCTTAAATCAGTGTACAATTTATGATCTCTAAATTTGTAAATAATTTTTTCTCAGCTATTTGGGACTTGGTTTAATGGCTGCTAGGAAAGCAATACTTCAGGTAAAATATTGATTGCTAGATGAGCAATTTTTAAAAATTTTCTTGGGGTCAGTAAAAGAAAAGCTTTCGAATATTTTCTGTTGTCAGAACTATTGTTTTGTAAATCTCGGGATTAAGTATTGATCTCTATCTAATGGAGACCTACCACTTAAATTAATATCCGGCAGGCGTAACTTTTATTAATGGATAAGATTTTAAAGTGCCAACATTGGATATCGAGATATATAATAATATATATAAATGTTGTTTACCAGAGCCAGTATTTTAACTGCAGTGTCCAAGAAAAATATAAAATGTGTTCACATAAACATCCACTTTTGTGACTCTGATCTTCTCATTTGAAACAATAAAGAATATTTGAATTATTAAGGCGGCTCGGACTCAGAATGGGGAATATGTCAATCCTTGCTTTAAAAAGGTAAAATTTAATTTGATTTTTATTTTATTTTATTGAAAGAATGACGATTAGAAATGAAATGTTAGAATTGTATTGAAGAATAAACCATAATTAGATGAAAATATTTAGGTGCAGTTTTTATTTGTCTATGAGCGGTATTAGAGAATTATTATCTGTCTTAGATGTCATTAATTCTATGTCCACACAGACCAGCTTGAAAGTATTAGGATGTTAATTTTAATCTGCCTTAATTTTTAAGTACAGTTAAAAATTTTCTCAAATTTTTAACATAGGATTGAAAATAGATTTTAAAGGGAGTGTTTTGGAAAACTTCTTTCGGATTCATTTGAGACATATTTAACTTTTTAAGGATCTGTAAATCCTGAGTTTAAGCGCAAATTCGACGTTCAAAACTCTTACTTTGGGGGTGGATACGTTTTCAGAATTAGTTTTTTATTATTATTAAATAACGACGACATGAAATGTAAAAAAGTTCTTCAATAAACTACAGACGTCATGTATAGGAACATGTTGATAAAATTAAATTTAATCTTATCATCGAAAATAAGTAATCTTGTTCAATTATTAGATTCTATTTTCTCATTATTCTCAAAGATTTTCGCAGATTTTCTATAATTATTATTGAAAAGACGACATTTGAAGAATTGGAAGAAATCTGCGAATAAATTCAAAGAAAATAAGAAATTCAATATAATAATGAAAACGAAAAAATCGATTTTAGCATTAATTTATTGATGAATTTCTTTTGAGAAACATGTTCCTAACCATCTATTCAGATTAATGTATAATTTTTTCTTTATTTTTTGTTGTCGTTATTTAATAATTAAACAAAACTAATTCTGAAATTAAGAATAGTTCTGATTAATAAACATGTAAAAATGGTTTGTTTGAAATTTAGAAAAATAGTTGTAATAGAGTTCAGTATTTTACCGCATAGTGGCGCAAATTTCATTATTGTCATTGTAGGCTGAGAGCTGGTCGTTCCATGGTGAAGAGTTCAGTATTTTACCGCACAATGGCGCTGATTTCAATACTTGTCACCAGCTTGTTAGCTCAGTTTTAAGTTCTAAGGTAACCAAATAAGATTATTCAGAACTAATTTTAGACGTTTTTTCGTCATTTTGAGATCTTTCAACAATTTAATAAACAACTTTTACTCATCTGATCTAAGCTTGTGTTTAAAGACTAATTGTCAATTAATTAAAGACGGGTTTATATGAACTATACAATGAAAATTCCTTATTTAAATGACCCATCTATGAAATTTCTCATGTATGTCCCTGGGTCCCATCTAAAAAATGTCATATCTATAAAATGTTTCGTCTATAAAATGTGCTATTTATGAAATGTCTTATCTATAAAATGTCATATCTATAAAATGTTTCGTCTGTAAAATGTCCTGCGTTTGAAATGTCATGAAATGTCATAGATATATGAAAAGCCAATCTAAGAAATATCCCGCCTTTGAAATATCATATATATGATATTTCTATGAAATGTCCCAACACATGTTTATACTGTCAATGAGTATGGTTTCACAACTTTTGCTAATGGTAGATGTCAAAGTCTACTACAGTCAACAAGAATGGGTTCACACCCTTTGCTAATGGTGAATGTCAAGTCTACTACAGTCAACAAGAAACGGTTCACACCCTTTCCTAATGGTGGATGTCAAAGTTTACTACAGTCATCAAGAATGGGTTTACACCCTTTGCTAATGGTAGATGTCAAAGTCTACTAGTCAACAAGAATGGGTTCAAACCCTTTGCTAATGGTAGATGTAAAAGTCTACTACAGTCAACAACGAGTATGGGTTCAAGCCCCATGCTAATGGTAGATTTCAAAGTCTACCACAGTCAACAAGAATGGGTTCACACCCTTTGCTAATGGTAGATGTCAAAGTCTACTACAGTCAACAACGTGTATGGGTTCAAACCCGATGCTAATGGTAGATTTCAAAGTCTACTACAGTCAACAAGAATGGGTTCACAACCTTTGCTAATGGTAGATGTCAAAGCCTACAGAATACATTGCTACTTTTGCTGAATCAATATGTATTTATAAGTTCAATTAATGCATTTCTGAAATCATTTTGATTATTTGAGTGCTTGGCTGCTGACTAAGTATCGACTTGTAAATACACAATGAATGTATATTCAGTTGAAATTTCAATATGAATAGTTTTAACAAATACCGATCAGAACAAAATTATTAAACATTATATTTTTAATTGGCTCATAAAAAATTTTCGCATGTGTTTGAAAATAAATACTAAAAATATATCTATTATAAAACAAAAAAAAACTTGATTTGGTACTTTTTTTTGCAGGTTTTTATAGAAAATTAGAATTTGATTTGTTTAGAACATTCATAGTCCTTCAGAGTTGGAAGCTCGTAGTATTGTTGCCTTTTCATACTTCTATGACAGAGCTGTAGATTCAAACCTTATTCCGAGCTCAGGGGGTCAGCTCACATTAGCTCAGTATAGACAGGTCAAATAGTATTTTATTAATTCAATAAATAATGATTATGTTTCAATGGATTCAGATAAATATACAATTCCAAGGAAGGAGTTAGATTATTAGGACTCATTCTTTGCAAAGTACCCCTCGAGATGAGTTCTGTGGATCCTGATGTACAGTGTGTCCCACTAAACATGAGTTCTGTGGATCCTGTTGTACAGTGTGTCCCACTGAACATGACTGTTTAGCCGATTTGAAGATCGTCTTTGATCTTTGGCATTAATCTGTCAACTTTTATTCTTGAAATAATAATCTACCCGAAATCCTGGTATTTCAAATATCAGAGGCCGAATTTAAAGAGTTTGAGTCGCGGCCTAAATTTGATACGCGTCTCAAATATGGTTGGTTCCACTTAAAATGATATTCAATGTTTCAAGAATTAAGTTGGCGCTCAATTGAAACCGGTTTTTGGCGGATTTAAGACGCGATTCAAATTCATTAAACTCGGACTCTGGTCTTCCTTTTAAATGCTTTCCAAATTACTTGAAATCGAAGATAAAATACAATCTTCAAATTCTTTCTCAATTGTCATGTTTTTGAGACACCCTGTAGATAATTAAACTGGAATTCTACAGTGATAACCAGGAAACTCTGAAATAGGAAGACGACTTAATAGCAATACGTTTATATATTTGATCCTGTTGCAAAGCAAATTGTTTTACCAGACAGTAGACACTTATTAAATCTATACTAAAGTGAAATTGGTCTGTTTACATTGCACAATTGTTGCGTCTCGTGCTCATTGGACTATTTAAAGTGATAACTTGAGTCTGAACTCCGTCCTCCTATTACACAGTTTTCTGGTTCTCACTGTATAACAAATATTAAGGCTGGTGAGAGATGGTGCACAGACCTGGAGGCTTCATTTCAATGCATCGATCTTACCTTTATATACGCACTCCTCTCAACTTACGGAATCAAAGACAGGTGAGTTTAAAGGGACTGTACATGTAATTTTAAGTCACCCTTCAATGAAAATAGTAGCATGTTCGATTCACAACAGTATTCTTAAAAGCTTTGTCTGATCAAGTATGAATTAGAGTAACTTGTCATACCGCCCCTTTACAAAGTACAATACAATACAAAGTTCAAGTTCGCTTCAACTGCATTCAGTGATTAATCTTGTCAATTGTCTATTGATAAAATAATAAATATGATAACGACGCATGGATTTTATCTGGTTTCAGACTATTTTAATAAAAGGTTGTGAAATTTTAATTTCTCTTGAAAAATGACAAAAAGCGAAATAATAATTGATACAGTGGGACCCATACAAGACGACTTAAGAAGCGTTAAGATTTTAAAGCTACTGTAAAATTATTATCTCTATAACAGCATCTAATACACACAAGACAACAATGTTGTCCGGCTATTCCACAGTTTTGTGGGTCTTTCTGTATATAATTTTCCACTCATAAATGTAAGATATATTTTTGTTTCAGTACTCCGATTGGTATTTACAAAAAGATCAATGGACATGAAACCAGCTGGGCCCTTGGAGCTGCGCTTGATCTTCTTAGCCGACAATAGGACTCTTGATCTTCTTACCCGACAAAAGGGCTCTTGATCTTCTTAGCCGACAAAAGGACTCTTGATCTTATTAACCGACAAAAGGATTCTTGATCTTCTTAGCCGACAATAGGACTCTTCATCTTCTTAGCCGACAATAGGACTCTTATTCTTCTTAGCCGACAAATGGACTCTTGATCTTCTTAGCCGACAGTAGGACTCTTGATCTTCTTAGCCGACAAAAGGACTCTTGATCTTCTTAGCCGACAGTAGGACTTTTGATCTTCTTAGCCAACAATAGGACTCATAATCTTCTTAGCCGACAATAGGGCTCATAATCTTCTTAGCCGACAATAAGACTCATAATCTTCTTAGCCGACAATAGGACTTATAATCTTCTTTGCCAACAATAAGATTCTTGATCTTCTTAGCCGACAATAGGACTCTTGATCTTCTTAGCCGACAGTATGACTCTTCATCTTCTTAGCCGACAATAGGACTCTTGATCTTCTTAGCCGACAATAGGACTCATAATCTTCTTAGCCAACAATATGACTCATAATCTTCTTAGCCGACAATAGGACTCATAATCTTCTTAGCCGACAATAGGATTCTTGATCTTCTTAGCCGAAAATAGGACTCTTGATCTTCTTAGCCGACAATAGGACTCTTGAGCTTCTTATCCGACAATAGTTACATTATCTTTATATTGTTATCAGTCATCACGGAGCAATTACAGGGTTATCTATTACAAGATAAGAATTAGTCGTCAGTGACTATTGTTCTTAATTTATTCAGGCTTTATTCAGGCTTACAATTCCCTGTTTATTTTCGCTTTCAAATGAAAAAAAAACTTTAACCTTTAGATCGTCTTTAAATCCTCTTTTTTTGTGGGTAACCCTTTAAAGTTATGAAGATGGAAACAAGACATAGCACAATAATTAATAAGAACGCTGTCCACATACAAATCAGTTTTTATTGGTTTTCTTCTTTAAATATTCTAGGACAGCTCTGCTCACACAGTAGTTTCTAAACAAGGCAACCTTAAATGATTATTTATTAGCTGTAGGACTGAAAACGTGCACTTATATAAAATGTTTATATAAGACTTGATTCTTTCAGCTCAAAAATATGTTAACATAAAAACTTTTTGACATTTTGTATTTATTTTATTATTTGTGGTATAAATTGATTTATTAGAAAACATGTTATGTCGAAATAAATTTTCTTTTAAATTGGACCGTTTATTCAATATATCTATATTAAATACTGAAACTTCAAATTTGTTTGCTGATCTGAACGCTCTAAATAATAATCATATGAAGACTGAGTTTTTATGATTTAAGAACCACAGTCTCGGCATTACCAAAGTGTGGTCTGCCTTTTTGTCCTGTTTACCGGAGATATGAAGAATCTTATTCAGATTTAGACAATTTTGATTAAATTTAAAAATTTAAAACTGAACCAAATTCTTAATATTTCCTGTTGTATTAAAAGCAAAAAAAGGACAGACTACATTTGGGAAATGCCATGAGTAGAAAAATTTTGTGACAACTGTTTCAAGAATCATTAATAAAATGAGGTTGACGTCCGTCATGTGTTCGTAGGACACCCTGTAGGTCAATCATAATTGATTTACATAGTACGTCATAGAGTTTTCTATGTCACACAAATCTCTGAAAATTAAAAATGATTTTGTTCCCTTAAAAATTTGGTTAAGAAGGCTTTCAGTGTCTTTAGTAAAAATTTTAGTGTTAAAATGTTGTTTTTTAAGCAGCTTTTTTTGTAAAAAGAACTAGATCTTTTTAGGTAAAATTGTTCACTTTTAAACATCCCCTTGGGTTGTGCGAGTTGCCGCAAAAAAAACTGTACCCGATCAGTTACAGGGGTTTGACGTTTATTTGATACAAACAAGATATTGTGGAGTTTAAAGGAACATATAGTTTTCCACAGTTTCTAGTTAGTACCTCGAAGCTAAAGCTCTAGGAGTCTAACATACTCTACGATAATGTAGTGTCTCCCATTAAACACCAATTCGAACACTATTTGAGAGATAAACACGCATAGTTCTTTGAATTTGATGATCAGTTATAACCTCGAAGCTAAAGCTCTAGGAGTCTAACATGGTGCATCAACCCCCCCCCCCTTACTCAATTATATGCTTATAAGTAAAAAAATTAAGAGAAACATTTAAATACACTTTTTAGTGCACAGCCTCCATCTTATACTTAAAGTACTGTACTCAGTGTTCTATTATTTCATGATTTCTATTCATTCTCTCTAAACCCTGACTGAATGAATTCTCTTTAAACCCTGACTGAATGAAAATGAAACTTAGCATTAAAATCCCTTTCCAAGGATTCAATTGTATTCTTTTGCCTCGTATTGGATAAAGGTTTCATTAAAACAAAAAATTTTTAAGATTTAAAAAATATATGTGTAATCAATCATGAGCCCTTTACTTTGTGCTTGTTTGTCTGTTAGTATCCAAGAAAAGGCTGAATTTTATGTGGCAGCTCGCATGACCCATAGAAAGGTTTATGGTTAGTCGAATTGGAAAACAGATCAACATTTATTATTTTTGAACATGCGCCAATTTAAACAAAATGTTATCCGCAAAATTATTAGTTTTAGATTTCAAAAGAAAAATAACAGATTCATTGAGAGCATCTAAAATTGTTAATAGAAAAGGGACGCGAAGCGCCCTGAATGATTTTGTATTTATTTGGCTTGTCATTTTGTTTGGTATCCAAAAATCGTAAAAATAAACGACTGAACCGACCGGGCCCAAATTTGTTTGGTGGTACAGGGTGTCCCACGAAACATGACAGTATGCAAGACGACTTGAATGTCGTCTTGATTCTTGATATTAATTTCTGCGTTTATTTGTCAACCTAATTTTAGAAATAAATTTCTAGAGATAATAATCACAAAATTCCCTTAGTCCTGCCATTTCCAAAATGTGGTCTGCCTTTTTATGCTTTCAATATTGCCCGAGATATGAAGAATTTTGTTCAGATTTCGACAATTTTGCTTTTTTTTAACAAAATTGAAATCTAAACCAAACTCTTTATAATATTGAAAGCACAAAAAACGCAGACCACTTTTGGGAAATGCCAGGGCTAGGAGAATCGTGATAATTGTTTCAAGAATCATACATGTTAAAGTAGATAGAAGACTAAATGTCACAAATAAATTCAAATATCAAAGACGACTTTCAAGTCGTCTTGCTATTGTCATGTTTCGTGGGACACCCTGTACCTCTCCCATTACCCCTGTGCAAGGAAGATTGTTACCTGCAGGTCAGAATTAGAAAATTGAGAAAGAAGAAATAATTTTTAAAACTTTCGGAAATTTATCAGATAAAAATAAATGAAAGTCCAAAAGATATTTAGTTTTTCAACGACTTTTATATTGTTTTTGATCCAAGCGACATCTTTTTTATTATATTAGTAGAATTTCAGTTAAAAGGGTTAACATGGGAAACTTCCATAAGTGGGATTTTAAAATTGTGGTCTGACATCTTACACGTCGAAGAAAAGAATATCCTAATGTAAAAAGATATTATTTTAGAATTGTTTATATCAGAATAATTCTTATGTTTCTTTAATGTTTCACCATTCTAATTAACTTCAGAAATGTTTTACAACCAAAATCATTTCTGAATAAAAATTTGTAACAAAATTGTATATTATTGTAATTTATACCTACACGGTTAGTGGTTACTAAACCAGGATGAACCATGGCAGACGACTGTGGAGCAAACAGAATTTATTTAATTGTAAATGTATTTATTTTCCAAACCAATAAATATGCCTTAAAGGGACTGTAAGCGTTATTTGAAATAACCTTCCACATATAAATATAGCAATGCCCTATTCACAACGGTAGCCTGAAATGCTTTGTGTCTGATCAAGTAAAGAATTTAATATCAATGTTTATAATTTTGAAAACTGATTTTTTCAGTTGTGGTTTTCTAAACAAAATGACTTGCGTATATATTTCTACTGCAGGAAAACATGTATGAATTATCAGAATTACGAACATAAACAATAATATTTTCCACATAATGGATTAAAGAAAGGTTTCAAGGGCACCTTTCTTAATCGGACATACCCATCTTTGCATGGAGGGTCACTTTAAGAAGAGTTTAAGGCAGCTGAATTTAAATTAAATTTGAATAATAAATAAACCTGTGTCTTGCAAATTATAAAATTGCAAATTGTTTAATATTTCATAATATTTGTCCGGAAGTTCAATGTTCTTATCATATTCCTTCAGTTATCAAATCAAACCTCAACAGAAGAAGAGTGTTGTGAAATTTAAGTAAAATTAAATTAAAGGGAGCGTCCAGGAATTTTCTAAAAAGGTTATCGACAAACAATCATTAGATTTTCACAACATCGACACAAAATGTACTTAAGGGCGTAATTTTAAGTAACCCTTTATTTTTTCGATTCTCAATAGTACCCTTAAGACCATTGGCTGGTCCAGGATTACGTATATTTATCCTTATCAATGAACAGAAATGCTTGTAATTCTCAAACACTTGTTTATATATAAAATACCTAGATAAAACAGTATCAATATCAATATTTACTTTCAGAAGTCGCAGAAGAAATATTTTTATTTGAATTTTGAAACCGTGTTGAGTTGACTCTACGATAATGTAGTGTCTCCCATTAAACACCAATTCGAACACTATTTGAGAGATAAACACGCATAGTTCTTTGAATTTGATGATCAGTTATAGCTAAGGTTTATTTATGTATTGTTGTAAGTATGGCATATTGTCATTTTCGCAAGAAGTATCGATTGAAATTTGGCTTACAGTCCCTTTTACATAAGCGTGTACTTACAGTAGTTTACACTCCTTAAAGGGACTGTAAAAGAAAAATGTAAGGGAGTAAAGGCGGAAAGCTAATCATTTTAGGAGTTGATTGAGACCCATGAGAGTTCTATCTGATGTTCCTGTCTTGAGAAATTGATAAAAAAAACTGTGCCAAATATATAGGAAAATCTATAAAAGTAAAATGTTGTATGAAAATAGTAGGTTTAAACGGATCATATTCGGCAAATACAAAACCAATCTGAAAACAACAATATCCCAGAGGAGCTTAAGAAACTTAGGTTTGCTTCTATTATTATTTGAATTCATTAATTTTTCAATTTTAACAGATATAATTGATAATATAATAAATACGTCAATATCATGTGACCAGAACTCCCACCAATGGCAGTGCTGTATCATTACCACGTGACTACGTCTGTATCACGTGACCAGTACACTGCATTGCCATTGGTGGGAGTTCTGGTCACGTGATACGAACGTGTAAATAATACTATCAATTATATCTAAAATTATTAAATTCAAATAATAAAAGGTACAAACCTAAGTTTGTTAGGCTCCTCTGGGATATCGTCGTTTTCATATTGGTTGTGTATTTGCTTAATATGATCCTTTTAAACCTACTATTTTTATATAAAATTTTATATAAATATATTTTTATATTTTGACACAGTTTTGTATCAATTTCTCGAGACAGGAACATTAGATAGAACTTTCATGGGACTTGATAAACTCCTAAAATATTGAGGTTTCAGTCTTTCAGCCTTTTATTTTTCCTTTAGAATCCCTTTAAAGGGACTACAGACGTAATCTCAAGAGACCTATTTTCCAAAGGTGCATGTCCAATTTACAACAGTGCCGAGCATCCGAACTACTAATGAGGAGAATATCGTCGTTATTTATGAAAAGTGTAGAATTCTGATAATCTCCTTCGTTACCCGTGCTGCAAACATCCGCACTTACAGATGACACACAATTGAAAATAATCAATTTTTTGTTATAAAAAACAGGATATCCTACTACCATGTAATCAGGTTCTTTAAAAAAAAAGGACGACAATTTTAATTTAAGCTATTTTCAGAAGAAGAATAGAATGAATTAATCTAAATGTTTAAGAATGTCATTAGAAACAACAGCAAAAGATTGGTTATCAGATCCAGCCTGGAATAGGGTGAGAGATATAGAGAATATGTTGCAGTGTTTTCCTTTTATGCATAACAAGTTGTTTAGGAGCTTAAAAAATATCGTTTTTAATTCAATTCAATTCATATATTTTCTGCAGTAATAATAAGTCATAAGAGATATTATGTAACAAAAAATTAGTATATTAAAGTCATGTAAGACTACTGCAGCAGGAGAGCTTTAATAGCTCGGAGCTATTTTCACAAAGCTCTTCTGTGTAATGGCTTTTTTATAACGAAAAGATTGCACAATATATATTTAAATTATGGTTTACCACTTTAGTCTCTTAAAAAACGTGAAGAATTAAGATGTAAGTAATAAAAGAATATTTTTTTCGATAAATAAAAAAACCACATTTTGGTGATGTTAAGACAATCGGTATTTTATGATAATTCAGAACCATACTTTTAAAATGCGATTCATAATTAAATGCTGACATAAAGTTTAAGAAGACGACATGTCTTTCTTTGCCCGTGAAGTTCTGTGTGGCCCTCTGTATGTATTCACAATGTTAGAATCTGAAATTTACTGAATCAATCTTTTTCTAGGCATTCATTTTAAGCAAAGTAATTTATTTTTTCAAAGTATGTCAACTTAGGGAAAAAAGTCGCCGAAAGAGAAAATCTTGGAATTTTTTACGAATAATTTTATTTCAGGTGTTTAAGAATACTGTTGATGTGATAAAAGATCAAATTTTCAAGTGCATGGTACTTGCCGCTGCTTTAGGTAAGAAACAAATAATAAAATAATAAAAATAGCGAATTTTAAAACTTTTAAAATATTTTGTACCATAGAACTGAGTTTTAGTCACAAACTCAAATTTCTAATCCCTAAATCTTTTCAACCTAATGGTGTAAGCCTTATATTTTAAACTTCGACTCTTAAATCTAACAGAACTCATAGTTTAAAATATTAAAGGTCTACCATATTGGGTTGCAAAGATATAGGGAGTAAAATCAGATCTCGGTTCCTTTTTTTTCTTAATTGATTTTTCTAATTTTTACACTTTCAGCGATTGCCATCCGAATAGGAGCTAATCTACAGTCAGGAGATCTTGTATGTGTTGTGGTTGATTGTGATGGGGAGTTTGATCTCAAGGTTCTAGCTGGACCCTTTCATGTAACACTAGCTAACTATGCAGCACAAGATGAAGGATGTCACCACCAAGTGTTTCAAGATAGCTCTCATCATTTCCCTGGTTTCTCCAACTACAGTCCGTTCATTATTATGATCGAAGTTTTATCTTTGATATTTTTTGAAAAGATAGTTCAGTTTGTTCCACGGCTGAGCCAAAGATTAGAAAGATTTTACAAGTCTGTTGTTGAAGAAACATTAATGGGCAAGGATCCAGATGTTGCCGAGGACTTTGCGGGAAATATTATTTCTATCGATAAGATTCTTCGTTTGAGACAAAGAGAGGAAATTCTTGGAGCCCTAAAAACCAGTAACTGGTTCTACAATTGCTACCTGTCCAAAAATGTTGTTCAGATTGTTTTAGGTGTTCTATATTTCTACATCAACATGGACTATATTACTAATTCTTCAGATAACCTCGGATACTGTAGCATTCCTCTTGGAATAACTGTTAATACAAATGTTACCATGCAGTGTAAACAAAAAAGATTTGATGTTATTTGGACATTGTTGTCTACATTTTCATCCTTTATTGTCATCATAATAGTTCTTAATTTAGCTGCCCTTATTTGGATTTGGGAAAAGTCTGGTCTTCGAATCATAACAAATATAGTTAGAAATTTAAAAGAATCTGAGAAGCAAATACTCGTCAAGTCGAATGGAATGGATTTTCTCTTCTTGTTTGACATGATTGCTCACAACTGTGGTATTCCTGCCACTCTCAGAGTCTTAACTTACATTGCACCAAGATTCACACAATTCTGCGTTCCACAAATTGACATGAAAGATTTAAAAATGACTGAATCAACATTAAGTATCACCTGGAAACCACCTCCACTACAAAAAGTAAATGGTAAACAATATCATCATCTCTGTCTTCAGAAGTTTGTAGCAACAATTTTTCCGAAGAAAGATGGAGAAAACTACAAAGATGTTCTTAAAAATGAGAACTATATTGCAGAGTTTGAAAACCTTGAAGGAGGCACTAAGGAATACTTGATAACAGTTTCAGCAATCATTAGTGATGCTAAGATGAAAGGAGCAACAATCAGAACTCATCTTCCTCCCCACCCTCCTCAAAACCTTAGGGTAAACACAGAGGCATCCCCAGAAAATGAGGGTTCTCGCCTCAAGGTTTCTTGGATTAAACCAAAAGGAGATTTTGATAAATTCCGGTTATTGATATGTAAACTATCACCTGCTCCAAGTTCTATTCAAGATAATACAAGAACAGATCTGGATTTGTCTAAAGATAGTGTTCAGTATACAATTCAAAATCTGTATCCTGGAGAAGCATACGAAGTTCAACTTCAAAGTGTTTCTGGTAATCAATGTTGTCTTGCAAGACTTACACCGGTAATGACTTGCCTGACTCTTCCTAATCCCCCAGATGAAAATAATACAAAGGTATTGTATCAAGAAGATCAAGTTGTTGTGTACTGGCAACCCCACAAGAATGACAACGGGCACAGCTTTTTAGAAGGCTATGAAGTAGAGTTAAGGAATGCTTCGGGAATCGAACTGGTGAAGGATATTCTTAACCCCCATACATTTAGGTATACATTTTCTGATCTTGCTCATGGTCAAGAATATATTATTGGTTTGGCATCTATTTGTCGACTGCGAGATGCAGAAAACCGAATAGTTCACACAGAAAAGAGTGTACAGGTTCACAAGAACTTTATGTCACTACCATGCCCACCATCTAATTTCCATCTTGTTAAGTCTGAACCATTTGCTTTAAAGCTTCAATGGGAATGTCCATATTTGAACGCTAAGGATTTGAGTTATGCAGTTTGTATAGAATATCTGGGAGAAACTGATGATAATAAGTTTAAATCTGAAAAAATAGTGGCTGAAACAAGTATTCAACTCTCAAATCTTCCTCATGCAGGCGCTCTGTATGAAATACACTTACGAACTATGATGAGCTACAACTCTGACATTCTGTACAGCCGTGTTGCAAAGGGGCTTTTTGTCACCAAACCCTGTCCTCCATCTGAGCTAAGAGTCATTCATCATGAAAACCAAGAGTTTGCCTGGAAAAAGTCTGTAACAAAATCAGTTCAACAATACAAGTTTAAGATCAAGGGTGAAGAGAAGTCTCAAGACTTCTTAATTCCTTCTGTAGAAGGAGAATATGTAACATTCCAACTTCCAATTGATCTGGAGGAAGGGGTTGATTACAATATCAACCTCTACAGTCAAGTTTTCAGCAATGATATTTGGCATGAAAGTAATCCACTTTTCTTGAAATTATTAAAAAGTACAGATTCTTCGCCATATTCATCAGCTGTAGATTTTGATGAAATGGATGGAGGTCTGATAAAGAATCCTTTTCCAAAACTTATTATAACAAGTCCAAAGTCTTCCAAAACTGCTGAAAAGAGTAATAATGAACACGTGGAGCTAAGTAGCACTAAATCATTTGTAAATCGACAAAGCAGTATTATCAAATAAATGTCATTGTTGTGAACATAATTTACAAGCATTAGCAATCTAAAATTTTAAATTCATGTTTTATTATAGCTTTCTCGTAGATGTTTAATATAGGAGTAAACAAGGCTTTTAATTTTAATGTATGAAATTTGAGGCAAATTGTAACTAAATACCACAACCTCTATTTTTCTAATCCCTACAGACTTTTAACCATATGATGTAAACAGTTTTTAATAATGTTGTGATTAGAAAATTATAATATGTTACAATTGTCTATGGTATACCTTTCAGGACAATCTTTTTAATGTTGTAAAATATTTTCTGGAAATCTAAAATTCTACAATTTAAACTTTTGCATAAAAGCAGTTATGGAACCCTTGTAATATACTTTCAAATTTACGAAACAATACTAATGAAATATTAAATTAGCTTATATGTCTGTGTAAAAAAACACACAATTTCTATAGAATTTTATTTCAATAATCCATTAATCTAATGTTATTTAATTCGAATAATGATAAGTGTTTGCCTTTTTTGCATTTTTTTGGTGGAACTATTTATCGGAAAATAAAAAAAAAAAAAATATTTAAACTAGTACTTACATCATAGATAAATGTGTGTACACTTTTCAGTACGAATAAATCGTTATTGGCTTAATTTTTTGTCAAGCATTAAGTAAATGCATAAACAAACTCTTGCTGTAAAATTTTAAAGATTTGTTTAAAGGAGAAATCTAAAAATAATTTAAAAATTTGTAAGATTTTACTAAAAACTTTATTAAATATTTTTGACTTTTCAACAGTGTTGTTCATCATTTTGGTCTGATTAGTTTCTTTTTTTGAATATATTTCCCCTCGAACTCAAAATTTGGCACAAAATAAGAAAATTAAATATTGAAAAACTTCATTCTTAATATTTGCTTTTATAACACTATGTCAAATTTTGACCGTGAGGGAAAAAATATGCAAAAAGAAACTTAAAATGAATGTGTTAAAAGCGAATATTGCCAAGAGTGTAAAGGGACTGTAAAGGAAAATATGAAAGGGGGTATAGAATGAAACCTGAGAATGTCAGGCGTTGAACGATACATATAAGGCATCTATCTGACCGTCTGACGTTCCTGTCTCAAGAAATTAAAATAAAACTGTGTCAAATTTATACGAAAATTCATATATATATATATGCAATTTTGTATAAAAGTTGTAGTATTAAACAGATCATATTCAACACATTTTTGCATATATTTCCCCTCAAACTCAAAATTTGGCACAATGTAAGAAAAGTAAATATTTAAAAACTTTATTCATAATATTTGCTTTTATAGCAAATATATGCAAATATATGCAAAAAAATACTTTAAAATGAATGTGTTAAAACGAATATTTCAAAGTTTAGGAAAAGCAATCCGATTATAATCATTGTTTAGCTTTGATATATTTATAAAAGACGACATTACTGTTTGTCTATCTTACAATACAAAGCAGGTAGTTTCCATTTAAACTCCGCACCTTTCACAGGTGTGGAGACAGTTTCCAAGATGAATTTATCAATATAAAAAGGTAAAAGTTGTAAACCTTAAATAACCTTTAGATTGTATGCATAAGTGTATGCATATTTATCAAGTTATATATCTTAACTATTTTGTATATTTCAGTTATGTGCTGTTGACAAGTGTTTAGTGTAAATGAGAAGGTTGAAAATAAACATCTATAAAGAAAACTTGCTCATTATATTCACAAGTCTACCCATCGACAAAACTTGTTGTCTGGGTCTTATTGAAAGGAAACCTGAAACTGATTCCTCTCAATACAATCATTAATCAATACACAAAATTGAGTAACCAAGAACGCAGCTAGGCGTCATGTTAAAATATGTACTAATGCAGTAAATGCCCTACTCCGGTTAATACTTTTAGACCAGTACCAATCCAGGTACAACTCAATCAGGAACTCAAGGTTCACACAAATACCATAGTCAATATGGATCTGGATACGACTCAGTCTGTATTCTCAGGTATCTGTCTTACAAGATACAAATCAACATAATTCCCAATCTTTACCTATCTTTCAAGAAACGGATTCAGGACGCTTCTCGTTCCCTAACCAAGAAACAATTACTCTCATACCGTAATCAAATTTGAGTATTATTCCAACTGACGTTAATTTTGATAAATATTGGGTCACATGATATTCTGTAAACTTGCAGTACATTGTACATTATTAATTATCTTTGTTTGTAAACTTCTACGTAAAAACCATTCAACTTATAAACATGTGTGGAGATAGCTTAACTATGTTATATCTATCCTTGCTAATTCTATAAATATGCACATCTTATATGCGTCTATTTCAACTGTAATCATGTAATATAGATAACAACATAGGAATTGAAATTACGTCTATTAACTTTAACTTGTAAGATAAAAACCTCTAATACATCTGGTTAGAATTAGAACTCCTCTTTGATTACAGTGTAGAGTTATTGTACCCCCGTTGAAATATTCAAGTTGAGTCCCTGTGTGGCATTTAGAGCCTGAGTAATAGCTTGTTTGATAGCTACGCTTGTGTCTTCTTAATCATCTCTTTTGGATACCCCTTCTGTATTAAAGTTACGTTTTAATAATAAGTACAGATAATATGCTATATCAATTGGACTATAATATCCTTATTGAACTAAAGCCAGCTGTTCTCAAGCCAGGTTTTAGAGCATTTAAACCATTATAAAAGTAATCATGTTAATATGAATTTATTTAAAAACATATTTTATCACATTTGAGGACTATAGTCCTAACGAACGTTAGTCTTAATAAACATTTATCCAAAACTTACGTTCGTTCAATCGATCATTAGTCCAACTATAAACATGACAACACAAATGCGGAAAAATTAAAAACCGGTTTTTCAAAAGTTAAAGAGCGCATCTCTAATCTCTAAAGATTTGTCTAAAGACTAATTAGTCTTGAGATAAGCAAAAAGAGAGGATCAAGCATTGATCTCGCTATCCTCATTCTAAAGTTTTCATCTCTGAGCTGAAAAATTTAGAATGATGGATATCAAGATTAACGCTTAAACTCCTGGTTTTACTAAACCCGAGATTATTTTAATACGCATTCGATATCCAAGAAAGAAGTATAAAATTCAACCAATCAGCGTATCATGTTAAGAGTTATAACTCTTGAAATTTTGAAAACACCAGTTTTTTTCTGGTTTAAATTGTATCATATCAAAATTAAACTTAACATCAATAAAATAAATTTAACTTTTGGATTAATGTTTGTTAAGACTCGTTTAAAATGATGATAGTCCTAAAATGTGATATAGTATATTTCTTAATAGCTGTTTATATTAACATGATTAAATTTATATTTGTTTAAATGCTCTAAAAGCCGGCTTGTGAACAGCTGACTTTAATTCAATTGGATATTAGTTTAATCGATATAGCATTGTATCTGTAATTGTTATCAACGTAACTTTTATACAGTATGGACATCCAAAAAGGGGATTAAGAATAAAATCGAAAGGGTGTACATTGGATACTCAGATTAAGCGATCAGGATTAAGGATATCTCATTCTAAAGTTTTCATCTCTGGTTACAATCATTGCGTGTCTAATGTTTATTAATAATTCAAGCATCTCTCATTTCCTCATCTTCCCTCAGTATACCATTGTGACAGCTAGATAGAGGAGAAATAAAGAACTTTAGAGTTCTGACTGTAGACTTAAATTATCTAACCCATGGTCTGCAACCTGATAGTGGAAACCTTTGATTTTTCAAACTTAGACTATTTTATCTAACAGAATACATAATTTAAAATATCTAAGGTTTACACCAGTTGGTTGATTAGAAAATCAGAGTTTGTGGCAAAGAATCAATTTCTTTTCAGTAAGTTGATCAGCCAATCGACCAGTTTTCTAGTTTTATGTAACACTACACACATCTAGCTGGGTTTATGTTAGGGATGATTTAGGGTTTTATTTTCTGGAATTTTCATTTTAAAAATATAGATTTGAATAGGTTTAGTTTCAAGATTTGGATATTTACTATGCTTTCTGCTGATATATTGACTATACATGCATAACAAATTAAGTCTAAAATAAAATCTAAAAATGTCTGATAAATGTAAATTATTTACGGAGTTGGTCCTGCTGTAGAAAATACGCCTTAAATTACTCTCTTACAACAGATTTCAGACACAGATCTGTAAACTGAAAATATTCAGATAAAAAATATTTATTTTGAAAATACTGTATTTATAGATAATAAGAAAGCAAAATGGCGGCAATAATTGCTCAGATGACACGTGCAAACCGGGAGCGGAAAAAAAGAAAACGAGTTGAAACCAGTAAATGCATGTACAAGATCCCAGCTTTTGATCCAACCTTTGATGCCGAGATTCATAATAACTTCTTATCTCGACGAAAGCAGTATCAGTAAGTAATCATTGATATAGCAATTAAATGCTTACCAATACCAAAAAGGGGAGTAATATTACTTTTGGCTAGGCAAACTAAAGCTGTGTGTAGTAGTTTTTTAAAACATTTTTGTTTTTTATTACAAAATTATTACAAATCTAATTATTTTGTGCCTTTAGAAGTATAGAGTTGGAACTAGAATACATAAACAAAATCCTTGAAGCCGCATGTGCAAAGGATGAATATGAGCGGTTGCCGCGCAAGCCTACCTGTTTTCAGCTGATTCTAGAGCTAATGTTCATCGTCTTTGCTCTGTCCTTGGTTCCTTGGTTCCTCTACCTTCTAGAATACTCTATCGACACGAATATGGATTCTTATTTTGGAAATGAGTCTCAGAAAATTAATTCTAGTTTGCATATGAGTTAATAAATGTTTTATTTAATTGTCTATCACATTAATCTCCGTAGATGGGGAGTATTCATTTGGTATACTGCTCCGTTTTAACGTCTGAAGACTGTACACTGTACAGTGTACACAACTAGCTGGCTAAATTTGAATTGCACCCTGTGACCGACAGGTTTCCCGACGCTCTGGCACCCTCGTATGTGAAGCGATCCAAATGGAACAGCAGAGCCTGCCTATACGCGCATTTTCACAATTGTATTCAATTTTGGTGCAGATCCGAGAACTTTGAAAATTTGAACATTTTTTGCAACCTGAGACTGGCACACTTGAACCCAAAACCGTGTAATTGCCCGTTACTGTATTCAATGCCCAGCCGAGAGTTTTCAAAGGATCAGGCTAAAACTTTTTGCAACCAGAGGCTGGTGCACTTGCCCAGCCTAGAGTTTTCAAGGGATCAGGCTAAAACTTGGGGGGTACCCTCTCCATTCCAGTGGCTAGCTAATCTGGAAATAAACTGGATGAGAACTGAGTTTAATCTGGAAATAAACTGGATTAGAACTGAGTGTAATCTCGAAATAAACTAGATGAGAACTCAGTGCAATCTGGAAATAAACTAGATGAAAACTGAGTGCAATCTGGAAATAAACTAGATGAAAACTGAGTGCAATCTGGAAGTAAACTGGATGAGAACTGAGTACAATCTGGAAATAAACTGGATTAGAACTGAGTGTAATCTCGAAATAAACTAGATGAGAACTCAGTGCAATCTGGAAATAAACTAGATGAGAACTGAGTTCAAATCAGGAATAAACAGAATGTCACCTAGAATTAAAGGGAATGATAATTGAGTGTATACTGGGAATAAACTAGAAGTAAACTGGGAGTTTTCTGGATAAACAACATAGTACATCTGTGAAAAACAATTGATTTATTTAACATGAATTATTCGCCAATTCCTTGCAAATTTGCCTCTGAATGTGTCAATAAAAATTTTTAAGGCCATTTTATAAATTGTCAGAATACCATTAAATAGTATGGTGTTGGTTTTGTAAAAGAAAAAGTTAGCCACTCCCAGATGTAGCTGGCAAAAGGTGAAAAAGACTTTTTTCAAATGTTTGACCATCAAAAAAAAAAAAAAAATCTGTCGAATATGGTTAAGGCCAAGTTAAATAATTTCCAAAATAGGATCACATTTTAAAATCCCTAAAAAAATTATCAGAGTTATAACCATTTAGCTGAAAATGGTTTAAAAACACCAAACGTAGCGGTAAAAACAGTAAAATGGCTGGCCAATTTAATTCTTTATTCAGAGCTGAAAACTTTATAATGATATATCCTTAATCCCGATCACTTAATCTGAGTATCCAATGGACACACTTTTGATTTTCTTCTTGAACCGTTCTTTCTTGGATAGTGGAGAAAAATCAAAAACCGGTTTTTTTTAATTGGTAAGTTCCTCCCGTTTCTGTAATATTCATTCCTTATTCATTTCGAGGATTTTTGATAACGAAGACACATCTTCATATTTTCCAGGAATGTTCAAAAATCCAGTGCCAGCCGTAAAAACAAGTTTTCAATGAAATATTAATTAATATATAAACAAAAACAAAAATATTTTGAAATATCACCCATGCTAAATATGTAGATTGTAATATCTGAATGATTAGTTTGAAATTAATTGTATTGAAGACATTTTGAAAAATGCTTCGCCTCAGAATTTCTTCTGGAATTTTGGTAGCTAAAGACTTCCAGACCTCGTACATCCTTGAAATCATCTCTGGATTGTTCTGCAGTTTGACCCATCCAATATCATCGAACAAAAACCCCCAGCATATAACTTTCTCTTTAAGGCTTCTTATAAATGATCCGTTTAAAAATTTCTGAATTCATACCTAGAATCTTGTTAGTTTTTTACAAACTAGATAAAATTAACATTAGAAGCCTTTTATATATATATTTTGGGCCAACCAATCAAAACAACCAACTCTGGTTAGGCGGGTCCAAACTACAGAGTAAATTGTGATTTATTATTTCTATTATCTCTTGCTTTGTAGTTGAATAAAAATATGAATGAATATGAAAAATAACACTGGGTTTCCAAGTTTTCCCGGTTTCCTGAAAAATAAACAATAAATGATTAAATATAGTAGTTTTTAATCAAAAACGTATGAAATTAAAATTTATAGGAAATAAAAATAAAATAATAAAATGAGGAATATAAATAAATTATAGTTAATCGTCTATTCAGTATATTTGAAGACCAACATTTTAAAAAAAAATAAGCAAAAATGAAAATTTAAAAGCTGAAATGAAATTAAGTTAAAAATAATAACAAGTCTTTTAGCAATCGTCCTTTATTACGTGTTCCTTGTTAAAACTATTTACAATCTGAGTGGAATAATGCAACTCTGTGAATTTATACGGACTAATGATTATATGTTTTAAAACCATTTTTCTTCTCATGACGCAACAGATAGAAGTAAAATTAGTAGCGATCTATATCGAATTCAATTCAATATCAGCCTTTACCCTCTTTCATTTTTCGCGAACACATAAAATGCTAAAATTTGTTTTTTTCGATGTGCCCAGTCATACTTTATGATGGCCAGTAACTTTTATTTTTCTAGAACTTACAGCTGAACCGAATAGAACAAAATCATATAAATTAGAACGGGTTTTAAAATTAGAAAGCTTTCCGTCCGCAATGTTTCCTAAATAGTGGAATGAAATTGAAATTGACCTTAAAGAAACTAAATCTGCAAAAATATTTAAACAAAGAGTAATCAATATTTATCTTGAAAATTATGAGAGGTTTAAATGCGAAAAACCTAACTGTATATCGTGTGAATAAATTTTATATAAAAAAACTAAAATATTTGAAACTTTATTTCTGTTTAAATTAAAACAACCAACCCTGGTTAGGCGGGTCCAAACTACATAGTAAATTGTGATTGCTTATTTGTAATATCTCATGCTTTGTATATAAAAATAGGGGGGTTTTTTTACTTTAAAAGGCACCTTACAAACAAAGGTTCCCCCATTTCAAAAGCTTTACTCTGTTAAAATTTGCTTGTTACAAACAGCAAAATGTCCATCCCCAAAAAAATATAAGGAAAAAGCAGACAGAAAAACGGTCGTTTTAATTTGGATCGTTTTTTTTTGCATATATCTTTTCTCAGGTCAAAATTTGGCATGAAAAGCAAATGTTTAAAATACACAATTTTTTAACTTTTAAAACTTTTCAGGTTTGTGTAAATTGCCCATTGTCCAACCCCCTTTAAAGTTTTTTTAAAAAGCTAGCCAAGTAAATGCTCCTCACGATATCTGTAGACTGTACCTCTGTCATCATGTCCTGTCTATTAAATCTATGGATATTAAAATCAAAATCTGGAGAAAAAATTTATCCTTACCATTTCAAAATAAGATTTTTTTCAAGCGATAAAGTAATGGTATTTCAAAATTATCAATAATTAAGTATTTGTGGTGTATAAATTTTGGCTTCAGTTAAATTCTATCTCAATACCAATCAAATTTCCAAACAAAAGGTAGGAACTGAATTGTTTTTTCAAAAGAACCAAAGCCCTTTACTACATTCGCGTTTAAATACCCACGTAAAAGGATATTCTAGAAACCCACACAAAATGCAAATTTTGGGGTAAAAACGGGAAATTTAACAATAAAAATTGTACCAATCTAAAGGTTAACATATGACCTTTATGTTTATATATCACTCATTAGTCTCTTTTATCGATCTGACTCCCTTTTTTATCTAAAACGAACAGTATTTGACATAGAATAAAATCCAGTAAATGCCTACAATATAAAATTCTCTTTGTAACTTTATTAGGGTTAATCACGTTTGTTTTTATTTGCTTATCTATATAAATAAAGTTGTAATCTCTGTTTCTGTCTGTCTGTTTGTTTGTCCGATCATAACCCAGGAGACCCACGGGAATGTTCTTGGCTTGGTTTCAAGATTTTAAGTTGAGTAAGTCGACTCAAATAGCGAAAATTTAGTTTCCCGGTAAAATCGTTCAAGTGCGGGTAAACGGTGGGAGTAACTTTTAGTAACCATTGCAGTGCTGGGTTCCCAAGCTAGTTATTTAATACTTTCTCTAAGCAGCCATGTCCTTAAAGGGAGCGTTCGCGAAAAAATGAAAGGGGTGAAAAATCTGTTGCGTCTATAAGTAGAAAATTGTTAAAAACGACTCATACCGAAGAACGTAGCGTCCACGCAAATTTATAAAGTTGTAAAATTTGACTCGGATCGTAAAAACATCAATTGAATTCAAGTATCAAAAATCAAAGCATTCAGATATTACAACCTATAATCATCGATAATTTTTCGACGCATTCGGATTTAGTTGATATTTCATAATATGTTTAGCTTGTTTCATAGACAAGGTACTTCACAATATGAAGCCAAAAATCCTTTTTAAAACTTTCATATAGATTTCAATCATTAGATTTGAGAAGTTTGACTTCGTAATCTTTACATTTAACATCGTTTTTTCAAGTTATTTATGAATATCTGTTTTTGATAAAAACGCAATGGGTTTTCAACAGAAATTATCGAAAATGTTGACTTTTTGGGACATCTCTGAGCCATAAATTACAGGCTAAAGTTGTTTCCATAATTCAGAAAATCTGGGTTACCTGCATATAATAATCTGGGTTACCTGCACCTGTAAACTTATCTATTCTTTGCAAAATATATTAATATGGACTTAATAAGAAGAGGTTTAAGGCGGAAACCCACACAATCTTCAAATTATTGTCTGTTTTGGTGTTAGTTTTGGTGTTTGTTTGTATCCAATAAACGTCAAAAAAGCTGAACTGATACGGGCCTAAATTTTGTGTGGAACCTAAAATTTCAATTTACCTAAAATTTTCCAAAAAAACTATTTTTTTACAATGTATGAGAGATTATGCTGACAGTGACACAGATAGAGCAATACTTCAAGTTGAAGTAAAAGAAAACATTCATAACGTTTTACCCCCGTCTCATCTATTGTGAGTAAACCTGTATTTATTTTGAAAAAAGGGAAACCTTTATGTGTCTTTAGATGTGGAAAGGTCTGCTGCCCTTTTGGGGGTTTGTAAGAATTGTTTTAGCTGACTCTCAAACCATCAACGAGACCATTTTTGGAACCAGGCTCAACACCAGTCTTATCAGACTTATTGTTAACAAATTAAATTCAGATACAACAGGTAAAACATCGTTAAATTATTTCAACAGTTCTTAATTTCTATTTGATTCATCATAAGATAATATTAAAGAGAACATTTGGCTGTTTTCTGTTTAGTATATCTGTTTAGTATATCTGTTTATTATATCTGTTTAGTATTTCTGTTTATTATATCTGTTTAGTATATCTGTTTAGTATATCTGTTTAGTATATCTGCTTATTATATTATATCTGTTTAGTATATCTGCTTATTATATCTGTTTAGTATATCTGTTTAGTATATCTGTTTAGTATATCTGCTTATTATATCTGTTTAGTATATCTGTTTAGTATATCTGTTTAGTATATCTGTTTAGTATATCTGTTTAGTATATCTGTTTATTATATCTGTTTAGTATATCTGTTTAGTATATCTGTTTATTATATCTGTTTAGTATTTCTGTTTATTATATCTGTTTAGTATTTCTGTTTAGTATATCTGCTTATTATATCTGTTTAGTATTTCTGTTTAGGATATCTGTTTAGTATATCTGTTTATTATATCTGTTTAGTATATCTGCTTATTATATCTGTTTAGTATATCTGTTTAGTATATCTGCTTATTATATCTGTTTAGTATATCTGTTTAGTATATCTGTTTAGTATATCTGTTTAGTATAGTATATCTGTTTAGTATTTCTGTTTAGTATAACTGTTTAGAATATCTGTTTAGTATATTTGTATGGTTGTGATGAGAAAGATGAAGAACTGGAATTGCTTCATGATGATCTCTCTATGGAGAATATAAATGCAAAACTAGGAATATCGCGGGATAAGGTTTGTTTTAGTACAGTGTGCCTTATAAACTACAGAATGTCGACGGCATTTATACAAAAGATATGGTTTTGAATAGTCCAATTAGCGCAACACTATAGTTCAGTAGTCCATTTAGTGAATAGAGCCGATATAAGGATTTATCTCTAATTGGATGATGAGATAGATGTTACCGCTATGCAATTTCTATTGGTTCAGAATAAACACCAAACACAATCTTCTAATGCCTAAAGGAACTGAAGTAATTTAAAAGTAGAATGTACGTTTAACAACTCACTCATATTTTTTGTAAAATTAAATGTCTGAATTTTATTATTTTTAAGCTTTACAAAAACGACGGTATCATCATTATTGTTATAAAATGAAAGATTTGTGAATCGTACATTCCCTATAGCCGGCACAATGCAACGCCTGAACCGAATGGGCTGAACTTTTTGTGGACATGACCACCGCCGGGCCCTTCAGCTAGTATTCAATAAATAAACAGCAGAGTTTGAACCACGTACCGCTGGTTCAACCAGTTCTTTTGAACTTTATATGTGTGGTTTAGCTACTTGTCGCTATTCATTAAATCTGGCTTTTAAAACAATATTTTTCTAGTTGAGTTTAATGTCCCATGGAAGTTTAATATATTTTTGTGAGATGGTGAACAAAAATTTAACGATTACAGGTAAAAAAATAACCCATTAAAAAAGAGTTTAGAATTAAAATTGATTTTAATTAATTTGTTAAAATTCAAATACATTTCATGGTTGAAGCTAAAATTTTTTTAAGAGTCATTAAACAGCTTAGTACTCGTATTTTGGATTTCTTTTAGAATTATTTACTTACTTCTTAAAATTTATAAACATTTTCTTAGTAAAAGAACTTATCAAGTTTTTTTTCTATATAGTGAATTTTGCTTATTTTCATTTTTATTGTTTTTTTCATTTGATCCGGTTTTTACTAGGATCCGGTTTATTCTATTCTAAGATCCGGTTTATTCTTTTCTAGAATCCTTTTAATTCTGTTCTAGAATCCGGTTTATTCTATTCTAGCATCCGGTTTATTTTATTCTAATTTCCAGTTTATTTTATTCTAGAATCCTTTTTATTCTATTCTAGGATCCGGTTTATTCTGTTCTAGGATCCTGTTTATTCTATTCTAGGATCCGGTTTATTCTGTTCTAGGATCCTGTTTATTCTATTCTAGGATCCGGTTTATTCTTATTCTATTCTAGGATCCGGTTTATTCTGTTCTAGGATCCTGTTTATTCTATTCTAGGATCCGGTTTATTCTTATTCTATTATAGGATCCAGTTTATTCTGTTCTAGGATCCGGTTTATTCTATTTTAGGATCCGGTTTATTCTGTTATAGGAACCGGTTTGGCTGTGTTTGTGAAGGATAGAGATGAAGCTGAAGACGTTATTCTCCTGGGTTCAGGGATATAAAAAAAAACAGTTTTTTTTAAATTAAATTTTTATGGAAAATTAAACAATTAATCTTATTTGTTTTAGGAAATCGAAAATTCTTCGTTGATGAGAGAGGGGATTTAAAAGAACTCCACGAATACAGAGTAAATTATTTCATTTTACAACAATAAAGTAATTTTCTACATCTCCAGAGAAAAAAATTGTAATTGAATAGAGTCAACATGTGGATTACCCTACAAAAAAGAAAATTGAGATATCCATATTTTTCTAAAATAAAATTGATTATTTTCAACTGTGGCTTTCCTCTAAAAGTGACTGGCGGATTTATGCAAAAAAAGAAAAAGTGTAAAAGACCTACTATTTAAAATCGGCCGTGCTACTCTATAAACAGAGGATCACTTGAAATTAGGTCTATTCTATTATAGTCACTTTAAGCCGAACTAATTTTTCTAATTATCAAACATTATCTTTTTTAATAATCTGTTTAGGGAGTTTCTGATCTAGTTACGTACAGTACAGATTTCGCAGAGAAGGATGACGAGAAAAACAGGAATATTAACAGTAGAGCCCATCAAACTCTGGAATAAGAAGACGACATTTAAGCATTCTTCTGTGTTTTTTACGTTGTTATGATGCCAATAGTTTTAACATTAGATTGACAATCAGCTGCACTATTGATGTGTTTAATGTTCATTGTTTAGTGGACTATTTAATGATTTGAGTCTAAATGTCGTCTTCCTTTTCCACTGTTTTTCATTCCCCGCACACAGATAACACTAAATTCAATGCAGCGGGGCCCATAATACTGTAGAATAAAAGTTTAACTTCAGTTCATGATTTTAAACAATGCAATTGTGCAGTAAACACAGACCAATTTCACAGAAGTTGATTTTGAAGCTACTGTTTAACAGCCTCAAAATTTAGGGTTTCCAGCAAACGAAAACTTTCGCGAAAAATGCAAAATTTTCGCGAATCGATTTTCCCTTTTAGCTGGAAACCCTACATCAAATACATTAACAAGATTACTTCAATTTCTTTTCCTACTTAAGTATTATGGGTCCATTGCATGTACTGTAGTATATACAAGATTGAATCTCACAAAATATTTAATATACAACATGTATTCTTCTATATTTATTGTTATGTTTGCAAATTTCAAAACAAACTGATGTTTTAGATATGATTTGCATGGAATTAAACTGGTTGTTGGATTTCTAAATGCATCATCATACGTTCAGTAGGAACATTTTTCTTTTAGATCTTATTTACTTAAATTGTAAAAACAAATGTCAGATGGTTTAATAAAAAAAACCTACATTTTTTTGAGTTTTTAGGATTCAAAATCTGGTTTTTTTTTGTTTGAAAAACTACATTTCCTATAATTGATAACGACAAAAAGTTAATCAAAAAAAGAGTCTTATGAGCTTTCCAAAATGTGGCCTTTCTCCTTAGTATCTATAAAATTGACAGTGATAATAAAACGTTTTGATGTTATTTAACAAATTGAAATCTGGAAAAAATGTTCTAACCGGGATACTAATAAAATTGTGTTTAAGAAATAATACCACTTATTGTTCTAAGACAATATGAGAATGTCTTTCATTAGTTAACAGACTTTATTCATGGAAATATTTGTATTACTAAATAAGTGACTTGTTATAAAAGTTACTGGGAATGGGATTTGTAATTGTTTTTTTATGAAACTTGATTCGTTTTAAGAGTAGTAATGAATATTTTTAAATTCAATATAATTAATTTTAAAATCGTATTCATTAAAATATGATTGATTTCATCTATTTTTTACAATTGTTTTCTAAATTTCTAATTTCTTCTACAATTCACTAAACTGTATAATTTTTAAATTTCTAAATAAATGAAACAAATAATTTGTACTGTGTCTTCATTTGTTTTATTTTTAAGAATATGATTTTAATAGAACAACATCAGGGGGGCTGAACCCCCTCCTCCTGCAGTAATTTTTATTTTTAAATATTGCTTAATTTGTTATAATGTTCACAGCAAAAATTAGATTTAATTTGATATAGAAGTCGTTACGTAATTCTCATTTTTGAGAATTTTGAATAAAAACGTAAACAAATAAAAACGGGAAAATCTCAAAAACTTTTTTCGGACAATTTTTTGAAGATTTTTAACAATCATTTATTATTTTCTTTATAGATACAGAGAAGAACAATTTCATGGAATCCAGGGGCAATTATTTGAAATAATGAAAGGTACGCATATATGTTAACAGTTAAAAAATCTTTTTAAACGTGTTTCCTATTTCAGGATTATTGAATTTTACCTACACTGCGGTTCCTTGTATTGACGGCATTTATGGAACAAAGGTAAAAATAATCAACAAAAAAGTTAAGATTAAGAAAATCATGGAACCATGAGTAAACAAACAGTAAAAATACTGTATACAGTTATCTCTGAAGTCTCATTATTTGTAGGTCTCCCTGTACCTTATATTCAGGTCTCCCTGTACCTTATATTCAGGTCGAAGGCGGAGTTCGGAATAAAGGAAAAGTGTCGCAATTCAACGGATTGATCGGTATGTTGGAAAGATCTGAAATTGATATTGCTCTGGCGGATTTATCCTTAACCTTTACTAGATCAGAGGTATGTACTGCACGTGTAAATATACATGTACTGAACAGTGTATATACATGTACTGAACAGTGTATTTAAATGTACTGACTAGTGTATATACATGCACTGAACAGTGTATATACATGTACTGAACAGTGTATGTACATGTACTGAACAGTGTATATACATGTACTGAACAATGTGTATACATGTACTGAACAGTGTATATACATGTACTGAACAGTGTATATACACATACTGAACAGAATACATGTACTGCATAGTGTACATGTGCCGCATTGAGCACATGTACATGTACTGCATCTGCTCAGTGTACTGCATCTGCTCAGTGTACTGCATCTGCTCAGTGTGCTGCACAGTGTACATGTACATGTACATGTACTGCACAGTGTACATGTGCATGTACTGCACAGTGTACATGTGCATGTACTGAACAGTGTACATTTGCATGAACTGCGCAGTGTACATCTACTGCATAGTATACATGTACATGTACTGCATAGGTACATGTACATGTACTGCATAGGTACATGTACATGTACTGCACACTCACAGTGTACATGTGCTGCATAATGTACATGTACATGTACTGCATAGTGTAAATCTACGTGTACTGCATAGTGTAAATGCACATGTACTGCATTGTGCACATGTACGTGTACTGCACAGTGTACATGTACAAGTTTTGCACAGTATACATGTACATGTACTGCACAGTTTACATGTACTTGTACTGTATAGTCTACACGGACATGCACTGCACAGTCTACATGCACGTGTACAGGTTTACACAGAAAGAATGAGGCTTTAATGACGACATTAAACAAAATAATCTGAAGATTAAATTTGGGATTCGCCCAGAAATCAGGTCTTTTACGGGTTCTTTAATAATTTTGGGAATAAAAACAAATACTGCAGGGAACCATCAATGTAAGAAAAAAAGACTGAATGAATTATTTACAATTCTTTATAAAGTCTCATATTTTCTAGGTAACCCTGCACATTTTGAACTTGTATTTAAGTTACTTTTAGAAACAACTCGATTATGAAACGGCCTATTCGGTTTTTCCTTGTGATTTACACGAAGCTGAATTTTACGGGGCATTTTCCAAATTGCCAAAAGGTTGAAAGAGAACTAATTTCTGGACATTAGCATAAAGCACAATAAAAAAAAAATTGGGAAAGTTGCAACTAAGATAACTGTCCTTTTTGAGAATGCCAGTGGGAAAAGTACCTAAGATTTATGCGAAAAATCAGATTAAAAATTAAACAGTTTCTTTAAAGGTTGCTGATTTTGGCGGTAAAATGGTTCTGCAGCCTGCCTATTGTCTCATAGCTAAACCTGGAAATGAAATATCCTACCTTGCATACGTTAATCCTTTAAAGCAGGTATAATTAAAGTATTAAAGTACATTTTATATCAAATCTTTCAGCGTTTAAATTTTTTAGAATATTTGGATTTGTGTTTTTGCCAGTGTTGTTGTATTAACCCTCTACATATTTCTGATAAAAGCCCTGTCGGGAAATTTTAGTTTGACCCAAGACGATACTCTTGCCAAGGTAATAAATCAAATCGGTAAATAATAAATAATTATATATATAGATTGTAGATTGTAGTAACCAGAGTTGCACATTAATTTCAAAATGCCCATGTATTATAGCAATGCCTTAAATATGCCAACTTAAATATGGTAGAACTAATGGAGAAAAACAACAAACCTAGCGCAAGTTAGGAAAAAACACCATGAACATCGGATCTTTCTTTGGAAAAAAAGGTTTCCTGCAAGGAGGACCTTGGCAGCATTCAGTGCGCAATAATTTCCATAGTAGGAGATGTTTTCTTTGAATGTTTTGGAGGATTTCGTTCTGTAAACAGGATTTTTTTAGTGACGTTGGCTGTCTCTTTAGACATTCTTATTTAGGACGAAAATATTCCTGAGCAGATTCTTGAGGTGGTCGGATATATTTGTAGAAATATGGCAACCATTGATCCTAGTCTTCTTCCGTATAAAAAGTGATTTTTTCTTCTTTTTTCATTGAAAAATTTTCTTTTTTTACACAATTTTAAAGAAAAGATTAAAAACCATTTTTTCATTTCTTTAAAAATTCACATTAATAACCACGTTTTAAAAGACTTTAAAGGGACTGTAAAGGAAAAATTAAAGAAGTATAGGATGAAGCCTGAGAATCTCTTTAGGCAGGAACAGAAGATAAATGTCTAGGTATCGTTCAAAACCTGAGATTCTCAGGTTTCATCCTAAACCCCCTTTCATTTTTCCTTTACAGTCCCTTTAAAAGATAGCTTATTGAAAAGAAGGTTACCTTAAAAACATAAATTCAAGAAGGTTATAATGCAAGGAAAGTTATTTTAGAGGTGTACGCATCTTTTGTACTGCAGTGTACTGTTGTACTGTCTCTGGGCCGTAATGTTAACACAAAACGAAGCCTTACATGGGATCCATCTTTTGCATAAAAAATCAATGAAATATTCTAGTCTTAGGAAACTATTATGTGAATTATGTGAATTATCAAAATTATCAATTATCTATTCTTGTTAACAAATTCCGCCCAGAGATAACTGGTTTCAATATGTACGCGGAGTATACGCAACTGCAATTAACTTTCCTTTCATTATAACCTTGCATCATATTTTTTTTGATAAAAAACATGTCACATTATTCTGACGACCCATGTCCTATTTTAGATACAAATGGGCCTGGAGATTAACCTTCCTATCCTGCCTGGTCCTGGGTTATCTAACTGTACAAGTGTACAACGCTGAGCTAACTACTTATCTCACCAGGTTGGGTTCAACAAAGGAGAAATAGAGTTAAAATATGTCGGGGAATGACAAGAATTCCACTATTTTCTTGTTCTAACAGTAATATACGTCTAATATACAGGGTGTCCCGGGAAACATGACAATTGCGGATTGATTTTAAATGTCTTCTTCCATGATTTGTTAATTTCTTTGATGCCAAAGAGAATTATAAAAAATATCACATGGTCGTCATATTGTTGTAAATTGACGAAATAAACTGCCAAAAGTCTTTAATATCTTATACAGTATGGTAGAAGACATTTAAAACTATTCACCAACTGTCATGTTTCGTGGAACACCCTGTATGTCACAGTAAGCTGTTAACAACACATATCCTAGATCCCTGAAGGAACTGAGTTCTTGCCACGAGCTATTACTTGTCAATCCTTATATCTTTGCACCCGACTTTGTAGACCTTTCACATTTAAAGCTAAGAAGTTTGCTATTCTTCAAATAGTCTAAGTATGGAAAATCAAAGGTTTATACCAAAATAAGAGAGTTACAGTGATCGATTATTAGCTAAAATATGCGATATTTTCCACAGCATGTTCTATAGTGTACAAGAACTGTACACGACCAATCAGCAAACATCTCTATTCAGGGATATTTAAGGGATGTTCTATAGTGTACAAGTACTGTACTCGACCAATCAGCAAACATCTCTATTCAGGGATATTTAAGGGATGTTCTATAGTGTACAAGTACTGTACTCGACCAATCAGCAAACATCTCTATTCAGGGATGTTTAAGGGATCCTTTGGATACGAAACACGAAATCTTCAAAAAAAGACTGAATTCATAAATTTTATGTTTCATTTTTAAAATTGGAGTATTTCATTAAAAGTTGTAAAACTTAACCCCTGAATGGGTATTACATGCAACAAGTGGCCGTGAGATGGCACTCTAAAAACCTATCGTAAAAATGTAGCATGGCGTGCCGGGTCAACTTAAAGGCCTACGTACTACGTAGCCCACCCTGTGAAAGAAGATAAGCAGTCAGTTTAGTCTGTGGTTTACACCGTCAGATTACTAAGAAATGGGGGTAGGAAAATTAGAGCTTGCGGAAAAAACTCCTTAATGTAAACCTTAATGGAGCTTTGTTTTAATTTTGATGAAACAAGTTTTCAAGAACCAGCCTCCAAAATGATAAAAAAAAATATGAAAATTATAAGAAAAATGACTTTAAAGTTTTGGTGATGGGGGGGGGAAGTTTAAACCACTACCCCCCCCCCCCATTCAAGCACAGTACTTATTTATATATATTTCAGTAAAACAGCGGTTCTACCAATAAACCAGATGGAAGATATTCTAGGTTGACACTTTTTAATTTATAGTTCTGGAAAACTGATATTGTGAATTCACTTGGATCAAATTAAAGTGTAGTTAATATTTTTATATTGAAATCTTATATTGAAATCTTACATGAATTCAATCATAACCCGATCATAACTCATCCTATTGAAGAGCTATTTAGAAGAACAATCATGTTTTGAATTTTTGTGTTAGATAAAGAATCTTTTTTTGATCAGAATTCCAAGCATAAAATTTAATTATCCAACTTGTGCTCTATCCTCTACATCATGTCTGTATCGAAATATCTTTAGTCATATTTTAATTTCTCTTTAAAAATCCGTCAAAAATAGCGTTGAAAACTTAATATATAAAATTATAAAATAGCGTTGAAGACTTTATATATATAATTACAAAATAGCGTTGAAGGCTTAATATATATAATTATAAAATAGAGTTAAAGACTTAATATATATAATTATAAAATAGCGTTGAAGACTTAATATATATAATTATAAAATAGCGTTGAAGACTTAATATATATAATCATAAAATAGAGTTAAAGACTTTATATATTTAATTATAAAATAGCGTTGAAGACTTAATATATATAATTATAAAATAGCGTTGAAGACTTAATATATATAATTATAAAATAGCGTTGAAGACTTCTATATATAAATTTGGCTTGTCTGTCTGTTTGGGTGTCTGTTTGTTTGTTTGTATCCAATAAACGTCAAAACGGCTGAACCGATCGGGCCCAACTTTTTTGTCTGACATCACGTGACCACAGGGAAGGTTTATGAATGATAAAAAATTTTTAAAAATGTGTTTTAAAGGTTTTTAATTTTGTAAAAAAAATTTAAATTCATGAAAATCCGCGAATTTTATTTTTAAAATCCGCAAAAATTTTTCTTATTTGTTTTAAAATTTAAACAAAAAGAACATGTTCACAATTTAAATAGAAGATGGGCGCGAAGCGCCCTAAAAGCCTAGAAAGAAGGGCCCGAGGCGCCTTGAATTTCTAGTATAATTATAAAATAGCAAGTAAGTATTACTAAGTACTAGTGAAAATTCAATGATTTTTAACCAGGACTTCTTATTTACCGTGGATAGAAAAATGTACTTTGATGAAAGGGTAATATATCCATTATCTTATATCCATGCATTACTCTACAACAGTCTCACATCTCCAATATCCATGCATTACTCTGCAACAGTCTCACATCAATTCATTTTCTGTTTCATTTAGACCACAGCGACATGAAACTAAGTTTATCTAAAGGTTCTTTTTTTGTTACCCTTCTTCAATTTGCCACCGAGGTAACATTTTTTAGTCTGTTAACACTGTCATGGTGTTTTTTTTCGATTAATCAAGTCTTAATGAAGTATTTTTTATTTTGGAAAGTTTTTTAATATTTAATATTTTTAGGGGAATTATAAGAGGTTATGGGAGGAAAAGGTAAACATGTTAAATTATTGGTCAAAATAGGCTTTAATCTTATTTAAACAATTATTCAACACTATTCAAATATTAGATCTTTTAGATTTATCAAATTGTACAAAAAATCTGATCTTTTTATGTTTTTCCTTGACAAAATATTGGTTAATTTACAATTAATCTAATGTGTACAATGTACATCCAAGAAAAATAAATGCAAGAGCAAAAGTTGGTTTGGTTTGTAGGTTATTTAGCTCTATGCGCATAAAGAAATAAATGCAAAAAGCACATCTAAGTTTCTCCCATGGTCAGATTTACAGATAGAGTTTTTACTATTTTTTAAAAAATCGACCCATATTTGTTAAGATTATGCCCTTTTCAGGCTAAAATAGGAAAAATAATTTTATCTTTGCGTCTCATTCAAAAACCCATATAAAGATATATGCTGATCAAAATGGTTAATTTGTCATATAATTACAAATGTTTTAAAATTTCTAGCACTAACGCTGACCGTGGGAGAAACTGAAATGGGATTTTTGAACATATTTCTATTTGCGCATAATCTAAATAACCTACAAACCAAGCCAATTTTTGCTTATGTATTTATTTTTCTTAGTTCTCAATGTGAATCAATCAATATTTGGTCAAGGAAAAACAAACAGTTATCAGATTTTTTTTACAATTTGATAAATCTAAAAGAACTAATATTTGAGTAGTGTTGCAAGTCAATCATCATTATTGGAGTGGCATGTCCGATTTACAACAGTGCCCTTAAACGCTTTGTCTGAAGTTTGAATTAGATATCCATGTTTTTGTTTTGGAATACCGATTATTTTCATTCGTGGTTTCTAAACAAAAGTGATTTGTGCATTATTTGATTCAGAAACAATGAAGAAATTATCAGAATTAAACGCTTAGTAACTCAGAAAAACTATGAATCTTCCACATTTTTATTCAGATTAATATTTCAAGGACACCATTTTGAATCGGGTAGGCCCCTTTTTTAGATGAAAGTCACTTAAATTTACAACAACAGTCCCTTTAATATCAATTTTATCTGAACAGTCCCTTTAAATAAAATGTCTAGGTTGAAGGTAAAGAATATGGAATACTAAGATGGGCAGATGGAGATGAAAAACTACTTCAAGCCATTAAGGTTTTTTATTAGATAATTCATGAATTCCCATTTTGACACAAACTAAAATTTCTAATCCCAAAATCTTTCAAATTTAATGGTTTAAATGTTTGATATTTCAAACTTAGACAATTTGATCTAATAGAAAACTCAATTCCTTTCGAGGTTCTTAGAACAAAAAGTAACTATTTTGTTTCGGGGAAAAGAATAATATTTCGTCTCGACAAACAATGTTTTTTATTAAGTTTCGCCGATATTTAGGTATATTTTTGAATCAGTTAAAATGCTTATTTTTTTTAAATCAGTTTTTTTCAAAAATTTCAATTTTATTAATTTAGGTGTTGATTATTATTAAATTATTTCATATAAATACCCCAGGCTCCNATGTGAAATAACGAAGTTACCAATATAACCTTTATTTTAGGAAGATATCCATGTGAAATAACGAAGTTACCAATATAACCTATATTTTAAGAAGATATCCATGTGAAATAACGAAGTTACCAATAGAACCATTATTTTAGGAAGATATCCATGTGAAATAACGAAGTTTACAATAGAACCTATATTTTAGGAAGATATCCATGTGAAATAACGAAGTTACCAATATAACCTATATTTTAGGAAGATATCCATGTGAAATAACGAAGTTATAGCAATAGAAACTATATTTTAGGAAGATATCCATGTGAAATAACGAAGTTATACCAATAGAAACTATATTTCAGGAAGGTATCCATGTAAAATAACGAAATTATGCCAATAGAAACTATATTTTAGGAAGATATCCATGTGAAATAACGAAGTTATACCAATAGAAACTATATTTCAGGAAGGTATCCATGTGAAATAACGAAATTATGCCAATAGAAACTATATTTTAGGAAGATATCCATGTGAAATAAAGAAGTTAAACCAAAAGAAACTATATTTTAGAAAGATATCAATGCGAAATAATGAAGTTATACCAATAGAACCTATATTTTAGGAAGATATCCATGTGAAATAACGAAGTTACCAATAGAGCCTATGTTTCCTACTCAGTTAGGAGTTTATTTAAGGAAGAATTCAACTCTTACAAAAGTTTTTGAGTATGTTTTTTTTTGTAATGGAACTAAACGTACTTATTGCTACAAACTTAAATTTTCGAACCCCTATATAATTTTGCAAACTGATGGTGTAATCTTTTGATATTTTAAAGCCCGACTATTTATTCTAGAAGAATTTATATTTCGAAATAAGTATTAAATTGGTCTTAAGATCGATAAGAAAATGATAATTTGTAACAAGTGTTCACTTTCTTTGCTTTTTCATTGCATAAAATTTAAAGGCAAAACCATGTCCCAAACTATTCAATGAATATTTTGGGACATCAGAATTTACTTATGAAATCTTTCAATAATTGCCATGTCATGTCCAAGTAATTCTATGAAATTCCCTGATACACAATTAACCTTTCTCCGACTTCAGACTGTTCACGTTTATCTGTGTGCAGATATTATTGTTTTCCACTCAGGACAAGTGTTAAATTATCTTGCTTCACAAATCAGAAAGCCATCTTATTGAGAGAAAATATAAAAGAGAAAATTTCCATTTTGAGAAAGAAAAAAAAGAACAGTTTTATTATTTTACAGTTACGACAATGTTCTAGTGGCACTGTTGTGAATTAAGCATGTATCTAATCAAATCATAAATGAAGGGTCCATGTCTTGTTTCAGGCAAGAGCTAAATAGATTGCAGGAAGCTGGTATTGTGGATACAATAGAAAGAAACGGAGAAAGGTCAAAGTTGAAATTCAACAAAGAAAAAAGAAATTTTTGTAAAAATAAAATCTATGAAGTATATCCACTTTTGATCGCGCTTTAAAACTTGCTTCTGCGTTGTAAAGAAAGAAGTTTAGATTGCAATCGAAATTTAGTCTTTGTTACAAACTCTTCTAACCTTAGCAGCCCACTGTCGTAGACCTAAGATGTTTCAAACTATGAATTTGGTTAGATCAAATATACTTATTTTTAAATATCAGGTTGTTAGGATGTAGGGATAAAAAAAAAGTTTGAATTCCAAGTAAGATTGAAATCTTTATGTTTTCAAGTATAAAACCTCTTTTTATAAAACTATTGAGAAGAACAAAAATGTTTTGAAGTTTTAATCTGTCAATTAAAAAATTGCAATGTTTCTAGGTTAAACTCTATGAAGAAGAAGGTTTGTGTGAATACTGATCTCAAGCTTGGTATCCAGGTATTCACAAACAGAGGTTGAAACTTTACAGTCGATTATCGTTAATCTTGAACGCAGGATCTTGATTTACATTTTGGACACTCTTCGATCTGAGGAAAAATCCCTTATTATTTAGTTATTAGCTGTTTATCTTTTCATTTCAGGGAAGCACTTAAAGGGAATTTTCGTTTTTTTCGCTTTCGCGAAGAACTGCATAAAAAATGATGTGAAAATTTCGGGAAAAATACGAATGTTAAAACTTATCAAAAAAAACAAAATTTTGAGATTACAAAATTTTTCGTGAAATTTTAAAGAGAATTAACATGAATTTGAGATGTTGATATTAATCAAAAAGTGTCTTCAAATAGTTTTCTTTTCAGCATAATGTAAACTAGAAATATGCTAAATGATTGATTGTTTCAATTTATTATTTTATCCCTTGAATTTTCGAGAGATAAATTTAAAGCATATAATTATGAAATATGACAGGCGTACTCAGGGAGAGCTATAGGGGCTGAGCTGAGCCCTTCTCCCTAAATCAGCTAAATCTATGGTTTTCATGGGTTTGTTCAAACTGAAACGGGTTCTGACTGCTGAGCTTTTGCTTCGTTTTTTTACCATTATTTTCAATTACTGGCATAGTATACGAAACGCAAATGTTTTCTTAGACTATGCCAAAGGAACTGAGTCTTTGCTATTAACTCAAATACTCTAATCCGAGCTTGACAATATCATGATTAGATTGTTTAATCTAACTGAATAAATAGTTTGAAATACAGGGTACCCACGAAACATGACAGTTGGATGTCTTCTTCCATTATACCGTATCAGGCCTTAAAGACTTTTTGCAGTTTCTTTCATAAAAAAAATCTTTGACTTAAACATATTTTAGTTTAGAATTAATTTCACTATAATTAGACTGCCATATTGTATTTTTTATAATACTTTTTGTATTAAATTACGGATTAAGACATTTTAAACTATTTACCAAATGTTGTGTTTCGTGGGACACCCTGTATTTAAGGTTTACGACATCGGGTATAAAAGATATAGGGATTAGAAAATTAGAGTTTGTGGACATAATTCCTTTTGACTTTATAAGAAACTAAAGGCAAAACGAACCAACCAGGTGCCAATTACATTATTTAGGGAACTATCGCTATGTTTCTTGTCCTGGGCCTAGGAGGTGTTATTGCTGTAGTTCTCCTTCTTCTGGAGATAATACTCTCAAAACTATTCAATAGTTTCAGGGATGTTAGGTACTGATCCCAAATGCATTTTTCCTAGGGTACTTCCCAAGTGGCAACTTCCCAAGCTGAGCTCGGAAACCCAACATGTTTTAGCTGCAGCGCTCGGCCCCCAATTCAACCTGCGGTTCCTCAGAAGTTCTAACCTAACCTTTGGAAGTCACCACTTGACAAAATGCTTTTTGGAAAATACCTAACATTGTTCCAGGGTATGACGAGTTAAGTGTTGGTTAATCGGAAATAGTTATAATTCTGTAAATGAATAAATACGTCAGAGTAGTCTTATTTTATTTATCAAATTGAATTTAGGTAGAACTCGTCATCTAGAATACTAAGCCCTTTCTGCAACATTATTTAAGTGACAAGCTAAAACAACATTTATCTGAGAATAAAAGTAAGAATGTCAAACTCAAATTCATCCGTCAACGAACTACTTTTCAGAACATGTTGATAAAATTGGGTATCGAAAAGATTCCTTTGCTCGACTGCTGAATACCGTCTAACTGTAGGTTTTATTATTTTTGGGTTTCCAAAGCAAGTTGATTTTACATGCGCGAAATTGCGAGCCCTTGCGCAAAAGTGAATTTAATTGCGCGCAAAAAACGCAACGGAATTGCGCGCAAATCCGTCCAACTTTCTTGTTTTTGTTTCAATTTTTTGATAATATTCAATTTAAACCTTGTGTGAATGCAATCAATTATTGCATAATTTCGTTCACAAAAAAATTAACTTTGGTAGTGGCATACAATAAACCGAACTTTTCTAACAATTCATTCTCAAATGCTAAGAAAATTGAATTTAAATTTAATATTTTGTTTTATTTAATCATATGCAGCATGAAAACCAGAAAACTCTGGCATAGGAAGACGACAGTTTAGACTCAAGCAGATCCACGTAACTGAATAAATGATTCATTAAGTTACTAATATTATCTTTTTTTGGCTTTATAACGACATCAAATAAACTGTAATGTTGTCTTTCTGTACCATAGTTTTCTGGTTCTCACTGTAGCAAAATATCAAATTCGATTAAACGAACCTTACAATTTTAACAAAAAAGTTTCCATTTTAACGTTCATCAAATGTGGACAAATAAAAAATGTATCACATTAATAGTTAAAAAGTAGTTTAACCAAACCAAAGAAAACTTTAAAATTTGAACACTGATGAGAAACGAGTGACTCTTCAGAGATATTTCCATTCTTGTATCTGCTGCATAAATAACATAAATTTGTAAGTGACAGTTGAAATTATTTTATTTTAAATGGAACAGCAATTCCGCGAATATTTATTTACTTCCTTGTTCCCAATTGCGTGCAACCATTGCGCGCAACGGAATTCCGATTGAAAACTCTAGTTTTTTTTAAAAAACCGTTTTTTCAGACTAGTCCAGTGCTTTTTTGAGACTAGTCCAGTGTTTCCTTAACTCTCCACAAATGTTTTTCCAAGCACCGTTTCCTTGTAATAACTTAGATTTTTACGTCTTTTTGTAGTATTTAGAATTTTGATCTAACCAGACAAAAGCAAAAGTCTAATTGAGGTAGAAGGTATTTAAGTTTTCATTTTTTTGTATCAAGCAGGAAGTTTCTACATAAATTTCCTGAGTAACTATTTGCTAAAAATTAGATAACTCAAAATAATAGTTTTGAATGGACTGCATGAAAGCACTAAACATGGAAACTTTTCGAACAAATTAAACTTGCTTGCACATTCTTCAGCATCGCATTTTGACGTAAGTCATCAATGAAAAATAAGCAAAAAAATTGCTTGAGTCTGATAATAATTAGAAATATAATCATGATTGTATTAACATTTTATTTCTACAAACAACTAAGAATTTTTAACCTAGACACCAAAACTTTAACATGCTTACATATATTACATTATATATTACAGTCAGTTTTAAATTAATTTGATAAAATCAGAGAAAATTTTGAATTGAGATCGAAACAGAAATATTAAAATTCCAAGAAATATCAAATACAAATCTACATCAAAATATCTTTATAAAATAACATTTAACATTTTTAAGGATTGCCACAACGGATGAATTTTTACAACAGCCTGTTTAACAAAATTGCAACGATTAAGACTATTTTCTGTTTGCACAATTGCACAAAATAAAACAATAAAATAATTTATAAAAATATGTGTTGAAATACACTTCTTCTCGTCTTATCAATTCTGAAATATATATACATTAGTATTGATAATACAGAAATCAACTGAGCTTTTGTCACAAACTCGAATTGTATAATCTCTATACCTTTGAAATCTGACACGGAGATGTTTGTATTTTGAAATTTTAAAATTATTAGATAAATATCTGGCGTCAAACATAAATGAAATCCAACGTATATATAAATCGCTACGTATGGCAACAAGGCGTTTTTTCCGAAGAACATTTTTGATATTTTTGAGAAATTAAATACACGGAATTTTATGGAATCATATTAGCATTACTGAAGAACCTTTTTTTTGTATTTAAGAAATTTTTTTTATAAAGATAAAACTGTACTTAAAATTTTCATAAAATAGTTTTTTTAATAGTAACACGCAATTTTAGGTAACCATACAATCATTCATTTATGTTGTCAGTACACAATAAAATATGGGGGGGGGGGGACCTTAATCACAACAGAGAGCAGTACAAATGTACATATTCATCTAGTTAGTTGTATAGTGTCTAGGGTATGTTAAAAATAATAAAAATAATGATAATGATAAGCTACAATGTTTTACAAAAACTTTTATATTCTCAAAAATAAAAAAATAATTTCTCCCGGAAAATACGCATTGTTGCTATACCTAGCGATTTCTAAACGTTGGATTTCTATAATGTTTGACACTAAAAATCTTTTTAAGAATAGAAAATATGTAATTTAGCCCCGGTGTTAGTTTATAAGTTACAAAAATTGTGAAATACAGGGTTAATCATTGAGGATGAGATTTCAGAGACAAAAGAGAATATCTAAGAGGTTTCCCGCGGTATAAATATTTTCAGTCCCTTTGGACAATACTACAATTTTTTACAATTTTACAGCGTCAACATCACTCTATTGGATTATAGTGCGACCTTCGTTAAATAATACATCAAGATTATTTCATCTTGTGTCTTAGATATATTTATGACTTTTGCAGTAGGGAACTTAAAATACGTTTAATTCTTCAAAATACAGTTAAAGTGGTCAGACAAAAAAAATACAACAATGTCATCATAGAAGATTCATCCTTTACGAGTAACACTGCATTTTAACAAACATGAACACATTTATAAATGTTGTGCAGGGAAATAAACCAGGAACCTTAATATACTTGATTAAATACGGAGCAATTATTAAAAAAACAGCCCAAATTAGCATTCAGTTTGTTCACATTCCGCTCAGAATCTGCAGTACAATTAGTTTGTCAACAAATATTTAGGGGTTCCTGGTGTATTTTTATATCTACGTCTACTTCTACGATTATACTTAGCAACTTAAAAGCCCGTGCAGTAATTTAGGTACAGCTGGAATCAACTCAGTTTAATTTTAACCAGTGCTTAGGATCCGGATACGTTGAATCCGCAAGATTTTGGCTTCCTGGATCCGGATCCAAGAGGTAAAATAGCAACCAAAAACTGCAAAAAAAAACCTTTTTACTACTAAACCCCAAATCTGAACTATTGAAAAAAGGGAGATTATAAAAAATTCCTCATTTCTGAATGGTTTAAGGATAAAAATAAGCGAAAAAATAAAACAAAAAAATTTGAAAATTATATTTTGTTAAAATAATTCAGCGAATCTGAAAGAAAGGACCTGAATCCGGATCCGGATCCATTTTTTTCCAGTGCAGATCCAGGATCCGGATTCGGATCCGCATCAAAATTAAGTGGATCCTAAGCACTGATTTTAACCATCGAGACAGAAACTTTTTGTAAAGATAATAATTTTGTTTGAAAACTACATCATTCGCTTGCATATTTGAATATCAAAACTTAGGTAGCAAACCAGTACTTAGGATCCGGATCCGGATCCAAGGGGTAAAATATCAACCAAAACTGTAAAAAACTTTTTTACTCCTAAAACCCAAATCTGAACTTTTGAAAAATGAGAGATTATAAAAATTTCCTCATTTCTGAATGGTTCATCAAGTTTCAGGATAAAAATATGCGATAAAATAAAACAAAAAATTGAAAATTATTTTTGTTAAAAAAATTCAGTAAAGAACTGACCTGGATCCGGATCCATTTTTTTCAGTGCGGATCCAGGATCCGGATCCGCATCAAAATTAAATGGATCCTAAGCACTGTATCAAACTAATTAATTTTATATAAAATTATTGTCAAGCCTACCTTGCTAGCATGCGAAGACATTAAAATTTTGATTAATTTATAAATCCGAAACATGCACCAATCATTCAGGACGTCAGCTCCAGAATAATTTAACGAACTTTTTTGTTTCCTTTCCAGCCAGGAGGCTTTATCTTGAGGTTGATGACAGACTGCACCCCTGCATTCGCTGGAGTCTTATTGCCAGTTGTTTTAATTGGGGTTTCATTTCGCTCATCTTCTTCGTAGAGCAGTTCACGCCGCACTCGTATTTTACAAGAAGGATTCGGCGGAGCATTTCTCTCCTTCTCAGCACAGTCATCAGAATTATCGTCACAGTAGTTACCATCGCTATCAGCCTCTTCACTGGAGGTACAGTCATCTGTCAGAAACCCTTCAGGATCAGACAACTTCCTTCTCATACGCTTCCTCTTACGAGGTTTCTTCGGTCCCTACAGGTTAGATGTTAATATTGTTAAGATTGTGTGAGTAAGCTTAAAACTTTAAGGATTATCCATTCTTAATAATTTGTATGATTTAAAACATTAAATTATGATGCAGCATCCCAAGGTTTCTCGCCTAAAATGGACATAAATTCTAAAACTACTGAAAGCAATTATCTACACACGAACAATGGAAAACTATGTTATAAAAGGGTTAGTTAGAAAGCTAGAAAGATAGAGGAGAAGGTTAGAACGTGGAGGACTTCCAACCTGAGAAACACTGTAAGGAGGAGATATAAAGGTGGGAGTAACAAGATCAGATCCAGCTGATCTAGCCCGAGAGTCCTTATACCCAGGTCGGGAGTCCATCAGCAGACAGCTGAAGTCCATTGGAGTATCTATACTGGGGAGTCGGAGGGAGGTTTGTCTGTTTTGAGTGGATTGGTTTAAGAAGATGGTTTCTAACTCAGAAGATGAACTACAGTTGGTTGAACCATCAGGGGAGGGTCCTAGGTGATGTACCCGGGGGGTGGGGGGCGTGGCACCTGGTGTGGGCGGAGAAGGAGTGTTAGGAGGTGTAGATTCACTCATTATTCCGATGACTTTTATGTCTTCTGTACCTGGGATTGGTTTAAAAATCCTGCTCTTGTTGTTGGCAAGATAAGCTCGGAGTAGAGGACTGGAGGAATCCGACCCACCACACAGTGGTAAAGGTTTAGGAGAGTTGGAGTCTGTTGAGGTTTGTGGTGAAGGAGGCAGGTTCAGAGATCGGGATGCAAGGGGTGATCGTCCATGACGAAGAGGGCGAAAACTGAGATCAATTGGAGATCGAGGGGATGCTGGCGAAGCAAGGAGTGATCGTCCAACAGGTCCCATGGGAGAGCACGGTATCCTACATTTATTAACTGGAGAGGATGGGGGCAGGATCGCCGCGTTCCTGAGATCTCTAGGTGTAACAGGGGACCTGAGAGTTGTCCTCTGTCGAGGTGAAAGAGGGACTGCCAAGGGAGAGGACTTAAGAGCCAAGGGTGATGGAAATTGTACAGACCGGGGTGAATACATAGGTCTGGGTGAGTGCAAGGTTTGGGAATGTACCGGGTTTGGACTAATAAATGAATGCACGGGTTTGGGGTTGGATGCAAGCTGTAGTGCGGAATCAGAGTAATATCTCTGAAGCAAAACCTTCTTCCTCGAGGGAGGGCGACCCTAATATAGAAAAAAAAAATATAGGAAAGCTCTCGGAACTTTATAGTCCACAAAATCTAGAGACGTAAGTTATTAAGTTAAACAAGAATTTTAATATCTACTTATGTAAATAACCTTTACATGGCCAGGACAAAAGCTTGCTAAAATGAAAAATAATAATTCTAAACTAAATAAAAAATTTATCTAATTCACAAATAAACGCATGGGGGGGAAAAGTGTAAAAACTAAAAAATAAGCAATTAAACAACTTAGAAAAATTCAAATATGTAACAATTGATATTTTTTTATTAGTGAAAACTAAGGATTGTTTATTTCCCTCCAAAAACTGAAGAAAGTTTCTTGTCCTGGCCGATTAAAAAAATCATAATATTCTAAACTTCTTACCGGTGTTGGAGGTTTCATCGCATATGTTTGTCGTTTAGATTCTTGAATCCTCTCTCGTTCTCGTTCACAAACCTCTCCAAGCTCTAACAAACTAGTAGCAGAACCCTCTCGACCTACACTCATGGTTCTTCGCAGCTTAGGTTCTTCGCGAGCACAGTCTCCAGACAAACTTCGCGCACGCTTAGTTGGAGGCTCTAGAGCCGCGCGAACTGCATCTCCACCTTCGTCCCGGTCTGGGAGCTGAGCGAGGTTCTTGCCTAGGGCCAGGAGGCTGTTCTTCTGCCTGGTGCTGGGCATTGATCGCTTCTCTGCATCAGTGAGCTCCATGTTCTCAACCTCAGGACCCATGTATTCAAAGGCCGGCTTCTTACCCTTCCCTTCCGGTAGCAAGACCTTTCTGATCAATCCCAGAGCCTAGAAATTCAAATAAATAATAATGGATAAGGATAATGAAAATGTTTGTAAAAAAGAGCTTCCCTTATTTCAATTATTAAAAATCGAATTTGAATTATTTCTTTGCCTCTCTCTACTCTGCATGCAGTACATAAAACTACTTTTCCGTTTAAAAAAATCCCCTGATGACTTATTAATATTATTAATACTATTAATACTATTAGTATTTTCATTAATATTAGTATCACAATTATTATTATCTTATTAATGTATCTACCTGCAAAATATTCGCGATATCATACAATCTGCGAACTCGGGTTACTTTTGCTTTCTCGTTAGGATTAGGCCCTGCACAATAATAAGGTTAATGCAAGCTCATCAAATAATTGTATTAATAATATGAAGTTTTACAAAATTATGCATTGATATAGGTTTAATGATAAAAAACGGGGGATGTTATTGTAATACGGTCGGATTTAATTGATAAATTATATAATTTTACAGACCTTAACCATTAGAAGCAGAATAAGTAATTGTTTAGGAGTCTTAATTAGAAACGTTGCGAAGAATTATTTGTAAATCTTACAGCTCTGGCATTATGACGTTATCATTTTTAGATATACATTAAAAACTGTCATACCCCTTACAAAATATAACATATTTCCCTTTTATCAAATATAAGATTAATTTAAGACAACTGTCCGTTCTGAACGGTGAAATAAATATAAATTACCGTGAATAACCCTGGCTGCAAACTCCAAAGTCAGTTTCCTAGGATGTGGGATTACAAGGAAAAGCATAAGAAACTTCTGTGTGTTAATTCCCATGCTTGTCCCGTTAGGATCGTTTGGAGACCCATATGGGGACATCCCGGGGGATCCGTATGGGGACATGAGCGGGGACATGGCAGGGGAGGATATACGGGGGGACTGGAGGGGGGACATATTCTCTATATCATTCATCTCACGTTCCTGCTCCTTAGCCAACCTAAACATTATCTATATATAAATTTGGCTTGTCTGTCTGTTTGTTTGTCTGTTTGTATCCAATAAACGTCAAAACGGCTAAACCAATCTTGCCCAAATTTTTTGTGGTACATCTAGGGACCCCAGGGAAGGTTTATGAATGATTGAAATTTTAAATATTTGTCTCCATCAAAATTCGATCTTCATTAAATTTTTTAAAATTTTGAAAATCCACGAAATAAATGTTAGTAGAAAATGGTAGATACCGGATCTATTTAAATCAAATTGAAATTTTCAAAAAAAATAATTACCTGTATTGTTCCTGCATGCCTAGTTTGACCCCCAGCTGTCTAAGCCAAGCTAAGGATTGTATAAGGTAGGTTCTACCGTGCCAGTTGTAAACATTCTTACCAACCTAATTTTTTTTACAATTAAAATACACGCTAAATATATCATCAGTAATCATCAGAAGAAGATTTTGACTTCTACTGAACATTGTAATTGTAATTACTAAAAACAACCCATAATTGCACTCCACATCTATATATTAATTTGGCTTGTCTGCCTGTTTGTCTGTCTGTTTGTATCCAATAAACGTCAAAACGGCTCGGGCCCAAATTTTTTGTGGGACATCTAGGGACCCCAGGGAAGGTTTATGAATGATTGAAATTTTAAATATTTGTCTCCATCAAAATTCGATCGTCATTAAATTTTTTAAAATTTTGAAAATCCAC